AGCAATTAAATTAAATTACACAAGTGATTAAATACTTCCTTTCCAAAAGACAATTTCAGGAAGGCAATGAAGATGTTTAAAGCTTGACAGTCTTCTATGATGCTTTTAAACTTTCAAGGAGAAACACCATTTATCTCTCACCAACTTCCTGCTTCTCTTAAGTCATTAGATTTATTTTAAGTGGGAGAACAGATTGAAATAAATAAAAGTTAAACCACACGCTAAACCACGGAGTAGAACAATCTTAGACCTAACACATTATTTACCAGAACGACTTAAAAAATTCTTCTTGGGGGGGAGGGGGGGGGGGTGAGTTACCTGGCAAAAGGACCGGCTCCAGTTTCTTAATCTTTGGTTCGGAGCTAATCTTGTCATCGGTCTGAAACACAGGAACACATTAAAACAAAATCCAAACTCCTTTTCCATTAAGACACAGCGGCAAAAGTTTTCTAAGAGGATGACACGGGCGACCGATCACCACCCACATGCATCTTGCAGGTTTTCATCTGCTCATCTGGGGGAGGGCAAAGGAGGTGACAGTGTCCAAAAACATAATGAAGGTACTCGTTACCTGACCCCTGTGTGCATCACCTCGACGATAACAAGAAGAAAATTAAAATTACAAAAAAAAACAAAAAACAAAAAACCTTTTTTTTTTTTTTTTAAAGATCGGCCCATGACCGAACTTGGGGGCCCGGATCGACGGTCCAAACACCCCAACCAACCTCCCCCGGGGGAGAGGGGGGGCAGCTCCCGGCGTGCGGCCGGGTGTGACAGACGGCGGACCCCGCGTCGGCCAGGCTGCCGCGGGCGCTGCCACCGTCCGGGAGCCGGAACTCCCGCCGTGGCGACGTCCGACCGTCGTCCCGCGGCCGCCCCGGCGCCTCCAGCTCCGATCGCTGGGTCACGGGGCCGAGCTGGGCCCGCGGGCCGAGGGACCGGCGGCGGCTACGCCGGGCCGCCCCGGGGGTGTGCATGCGGAGGGGGGTCTCTGCTCCCGGGGCTCCCCCTCCCCGCACACACCCGCCGAGCGTCCCCGGAGCCGAGCGGCGCCCGCGGCGAGCCGCTTACCTGCGGCGGCGGCAGCAGGTAGGACCTGAAGCTGGGTCGGGGCGGCTTGAGGGAGAACATGGCGCCGCCGCCTTCCCGCCCGGAGCGGCCCCCGCCCGCCGCCTCCAGCCGCGGGGCCGGCGGCCGCGCTGATGCCCGGCGGGGTTCAGAGCTCCCCGCGCCGCGGCCCGGGCCCGCTCTGCGGCCCGCGCCGTCGGGCGGCCTGACGGGCGGAGACTCCGCCGAGCGCCCGCCCGGGCGGGGAGGAGCCGGGGGGCGCCGGGCCCATCCCCGGAAGGGGCTCGGCGCGCCCCGCCTCGGGAGACCGCACGCACGGCGCCGCCCTCCTCTTCAGCCGGGTTTTAGAGCCCGGAACCGAAGGGCCTCGGGGCACGGAACGCCGCCGCCGGGCCTTCAGCGAGGGTACCGCGGATGGCGGAGTCTGACAGCCATTTTGGAAACGCGGCCTTGGGCCGACGCGTCTACGGCGGCCTGCGAGGCTCACGGCGGCCTGCGCGCGGCGCTACGGAAGCTCGTAGGGGTCAGGAGGCCGCGGGCCGCCGTCTCGCTGGTCACCCAGCCCGGGCGGGCGTTGTTGTCCAAGTCGCTGGGGAGGAGCGTGGGGTCGGAGGAGAGGGGACTCTGGTGCCATCGACCCTTTTCCGAGATCCCGCACCTGGGGAAGGTGTTCCCTCACCACCCCATCTGTCGTCTGGCATGCGGGGCCCCAAGCTTGAGCTGAGGTCTCCAAGGTGATGAACCGAGGGGGAGAATTCCAAAGAGGAGCTTCAGCCTTCTCCAAACCTGTTGACCGGTCACCCGACCCGGCCCCCTGTCCCGAGAAGTCTGCACGAGGCCGGAAGGGTTTGGTGGTGGTTGTTTTATTACCAAAAGGAAGGTTTTAGGAATGAGATCCAAATACTGGATCAGATAGGAAGCAGGACGGATTCGTTTCAAAGAAGCAAGACACAAAAAGTGATACGCCTTTCTTTCCCCCCTAAATGAGTGTTAGAATTTATTTAATTTCAAAGACGACCCCCCCCCCCAAGCAATGATAGATCAGCCTTTTACAAACAAATAAATTCAGCCCAGTTCAGGGATTCCAATCTGACCATCAAAATCTGTCTTATTTTAGGATGTGAGAGTCAATCACATTTATGGATTACCGTGTTTCATCTCTGCCTGCATTAATGGACCATCCAGTCTCCCTCTCTCTATTTCCTCCCTTGCCAGTCCAGTGGTGGTGTAAGCTCCTGGGCCTCAGATGAGGAGCATTGATCATCTTTCTGAACATTTTCCATTTGTGATCACCACTCACTCAGTGGCTCACATTTGTCATCCTAGCTACTCAGGAGGCTAAGATCTGAGGATCATGGTTCAAGGCCAGCCCAGGCAGGAAAGTCCGTGAGACTCTTCAATTAACCACCAGAAAACCGGAAGTGGTGCTGTGGTTCAAAGTGGTAAAGGACTGGTCTTGAGCAAAAAAGCTTAGGGACAGCACCCGGCCCTGAGTTCAAGCCCCATGGCCACCCCCCCCCCCCCAAAAAAAAAAAAACAACTCTTGAGTGATATTCCAGCTCAGGGTCTAACTCTAACTTCCATTCTAGCCAGAGAAGTCTCCTTTCCACTCCTAATTATATAGTCAATGGTGAAAGTTGGTAGGGTGTCCACAAGACTTCCTAGACAGTGGCCCCACCCCAAATTCCTATAGGAGATCTAGTGATAGGACAGGAGCTTGTGTTGTGAATATTTGTTAGATAAAATGGAGTCACTTTTTGTGGGTATCAGTTACTAGGACTTGAATTCAGGGCCTTGTGCTCTTGCTTGCCTTTTTTTAACTCAAGTGCTCTGCCACTTGAGTGACAGCCTCTGCTCTGCACTGCTCTTTGCTGGCTAATTAGAGATGAGAGTCTCACAGACTTTTCTGCCTGAGTTGGCTTCAGACCTCAATCCTCAGATCTCAGTCTCCCAAGTAGCTAGAATTATAGGTGTGAGCTACCAGCATCCAGCTTTAAAAAAAAAAAAAAGGACTCACCAGCACTAAAATTAACCAACTGTCCATGAGAAAACAAGTGAGATTCTCAGTTCTTGGTTCCCAGAGCTGACATATAGAACCAAACCAAGGAATCAACTCTCCTAGTTTTAAGAATAATTTTAAGCTGGGCATCAGTGGCTCATACCTGAAATCCTAGCTACTCAAAAGGCTGAGATCTGAGAACTGAGGTTCAAAGCCAGCCCAGGCAGAAAAGTCCCCATGAGACTCTTATCTCCAATGAACTACTCAAAACCCAGAGGTAGAACTGTGGTTCAAGTGGTAGGTAGAGCACTAACCTTGAGCACAAAGAGGTTCAAGAATGGCACCCAGGCCCTGTTCAAGCCCCACGACTGACAAAAAAAAATTTTTTAAGAATAATTTTACTCCACAACTGATAAAACTACCAGTTCTGAGCTTAAGACTATATTCAGCCATCTTTGCTGTCCAGCTCCTGCAAGTCTGACAAGTGTCCAAGGAACTGTGTTTTATAGTATCTTACATAGACTTCTCTATCCAAATAAGACTCATTTCTTTGTTCACAGAGGCCACACTGGCCTGTGTGTTCCAGATTACAATCTTTATTCCCCAGTAAAAGTTTCTATATTGGAGATCTACCTGTATATTTTTTGCTTGGCTTTGACTTCAAGTTGAATCCTCACAGCTTATATCCTTACCCTTGGGCAGTCTCTGTTTTTAGCTATAATTTTGCACAATCACCTAGACAGAGGTACAGTGTGCATTTGCCAGAGGACAAAAAGAAAATGCATATTGGTACTTTATTTTTACACCTAATGAAAAATCTTCATCACCTATATTATTAAAGTAATTTGGCTTTCATTGCATACTTTTCCTCCATTGTGAAATTTTAAAGTAGAAACAGAAAATCCACGTGAGAACCTACATGGATGGCTCCTTTCCATTTCTTACTTTGTGCCCCTCCTAATTTTATCTTCATCTTCCCTTTTCTTTTTCTTTCACGTTTACTTTGTCTTTAAGTTCTCTTTCGTACATGGTTACTTTCAATCCTTAAGCCACTTGATGATGAGCTAAAAACGTTTCGTAGGCTATTTGGTGGCCCTCATGAATTAGGAACTCGGAGGCTGTATAGTAATTAACCAATTTACCTCCTTTGGCATATTTTCACTTTCATTCCTGCTCCAGCTAAGACCAACTCAGAAAGCCAACACTGGTGGCTCATACCTATAACCCTAGCTACTCAGAAGGCTGAGATCTGAGGATTGCCAGTCTAAGCAGAATAGTCCTTGAGACTCTTGTTTACAATTAACCACAAAGTCGAAGTAGAACAGTAGCCCAAGTGAGAGAGTACCAGCACCAAGTGAAAAAGCCAAGGGAATTATGAGGCCCTGACTTCAAGTCCCAGTACTGGCATAAAAGAAAGGAAAGAAAGAAAGATTAAAAACAATTTGGTTTATTAATGTATACTAACAACATATTACTTTAAGTGTAATGCATTAAAATTCAAGTCCAAGTTTCAAATGTCTTTTTTTTTTTTGTCCTGGGCTTTAACTCAGGGCTGGGACACTGTCCCTGAGCTCTTTTGTTCAAGGCTAGTGCTCATACCCAGAACCACTGGGATTTGAGCAGGGGGTAATATCAGGAGTTGGTGATGGTGGTGGTATTAGTAATGAGTAGTGATCAGAAATGGAGCCACATCTTGACTTCCAGTTTTCTGGTGCTTAATTGGAGATATGAGTCTCAGAGGCTTTCCAGGCTAGCTTTGATCTGTGGTCCTCAGATTTCAGTTCCTAGTAGAATTATAGGCATGAAGCACCAGCACACAGCTCCAATGTCTTTTAATTAAAGCATTTCCAGAAATTGATCATGTTTAGATTGCCACAATGACACCCATTTGTGACCTTCTGATCTTCCTTCCTTCCTTCCTTCATTTCTTCCTTCCTTCCTTCCTTCCTTCCTTCCTATCAGAATACAAACTTAGCAGTCAGTTTCAGTGGAAGTTTTCTCCTGCTTTATATTTCTTTCTTCCATGGTAACTGAAGACACAACTACTAAGTTACTCACACTGCTGGCATGTCCAGATCTATCTAGTTTCCCCTGAATGCACTTGACAGCCCTGGGATGGCCATGGAAACTTCTTGACCTTGGCGATGGGAATCCCAAAGTTTGTTGTGGCTTCACGGACAGTAAGTTCTCCTTTCCAGTTCTGTCTGTAGCAGGGAGGGCTACCGGAGAGATCGGAGGGACTCTTTGAGAAAAGCAATTGTCATCTTCCGTGTCTGTGGATTGCTCTCTTTGCTCAGCTTGAACTGCAGCCTCAGACACCCTACAAGGGATATCAGTGCTACGGGAACGGGTGATCTTCTGAACTTCATATTTCCATTCTGTTGTCCATTGCTGGACAGACGAGGGACAGGCTTGATCCATGATTGAACTGTACTCAGCACCCCAGTTGTGAAACCCACCAACCAGTCTTCTTCCCTCGGAATACACAAAGCTTCTGGATTTCATTGTTTTGTAAGCGTTGAGTGTGTCATCTGGGTAATAGCGTGCGATTTTGCTTTCTTCCGATGGATAGGAAATAGTGCCTTCTATCTTGGTTGTTTCCACTGTGAGCTGAGTATTCGGAAAATCTGATTTCTGTCCAGACATCACATCTGTTGCATTTAAACCAGAGGACATCATTTCCTCTACTTTAGTGTCGGCCTGCCTTTCATCATCTAGGGTTGAAATGCCGATGTCTGGTCCTAATTTGGGCTCTGAAGTGACTGTGGTGCCATCTACTTTACGTTGACTGTGAACTGGGGTTGCTGGGGGACTGGGGCCCGATGCAAAGTGCAGGCTAGTCTGCCTTTCTGGAGCTAGATGGACTTTAGGGTCCTTGTCCTCCTTCACCCGGAAGGAACAAGTTTTCTTCCGGAGGCCTGTCCCTGGAGGCACGGAGACAGAGGTGTCTTCAAACAGCAGTTCTTCCCCGTTGAAATGGTAGCGGTATAGGCTGTAGCCATCAGAGCTATTGATGCTACTTTGGCGGAGAAGGTAAGTGGCCTCACATTCGGAGGAAGCTCGGGACCTTGACTGGATCAGATCAGACCTGTCAATGCCCGCAAGATTTTCCAGAGCATTCACCATCCTGCTGGAGAGTTCTTCAAGTTGAGAAAGTCGAAGGTCGACAGTCTGTAGGGTCGTTTTCATAAAATTTTCTCTTTCATTGATTTCTTCCAATCTCATTGACATATTTTCAACTCTAATGAATTAAAAAGAAGAAGGGAGAGGGATAGATTTCATAAACTGAATATTAAAAATGAAAAGATAATGGTATAAATTCTCAAGATTTTGAGAATTGTAGAATTTGTTGGGCCTGTTTTTGTGGGTGCTTCCCCCCCCCCTTTCCTTCCTTCCCTCTCTCCCTCCCTACCTCCCCCCCCCCCCCCGTGAGTCCTGGGGCTTGAACTCAGGGACTGATCACTGTCCCTAAGCTCAGTAATAGCTCTCTACCACTTAAGCAATAGCTCCACTTTTGTCTTTTTTGGTAATTTATTGGAGATAAGAGTCTCATGGATTTTCCTGACCAGGCTGGCTTTGAACTGCAACCCTTGGATCACAGTCTACTGAGTAGCTAGGATTTATAGGTGTGAGACACCAGTACCAGGTGGAGTCTTTGTATCTCTTAATATAACTACTCAAATGACAAGAAGAGTATCAAGAAATAACACTATATATATGTGCATATATACATATCTCTCCATATGTGTATGTATATATATGTATATGTATATACTAGTCATTTTGCTAAAAGCCTTCACAAGTCATTTAATTTCCTGCAGAACACCAAAAACATTAAATTGTTCTTTATATGCAATTATGAAAATTGTTAGCAAAGATGAAGAACTTGGTAAATTATAAATGTCTAGTGGTAGATAATTTTTTAAGACATCAGATAATCAGGCAGGCAACTTATGAAACTCTAAGGTTGCTTGGACTGCAATCCACTGGATCAGACATTGCTTTTTACTTTAGTACGTACCAGGATGAATTCTGTCAACAGGTTCATGAAATTTAACTCTTTTAAGTAAGAGTCAGTGATGTATGCTAAGGATTTCAGATTGCCTTCTAAAAGTTGCAGTGGAAGCTGGGTGCTGGTAGCTCATGCTTTTGTATGCCTAGCTAATCAGGAGGCTGAGATATGAGGATAGAGCTTCAAAGCCAGCTAGAGCAGAAGAGTCTGGGAAACTCTTATCTCCAATTAACCACCAAAAAGCTAGAAGTAGAGGTGTACTCAAGTGTACACGCACGTGTGCACGCGCGCACACACACACACACACCAGTTGAATTTGTCTCAGGATAGGTGTGAGAATCATGGCTCCTAGTTGGGCAATGTAGGAGTCTGTCCTGGAAGGTTTCTTCCTGTATAAAGATAAACATCGGATGCCTTATGCTTTTGTTTGGTTTTCTCCCACCTTTCTTAAAGACATAGTCTCTGAAGTCCTTTGACTTGCATCACAATCCTTCACTAGGTCTTTGCAGTCTTTTCTACATACCCTTATCAACTCCTTATTTGCCTTGCTGCTTTCCTCTTGCCCATATAGGAGACTCTGCCTTCACATTTGGGCAGTATACTCCCTGTCTCTTCTCCAGAAAACTGGTCCTACAGTGTCCCAGAGTTGCTTTAGCTAGTGCCCACACCAACAGCTGCACTGTGATGCAATACAGGGTCCCAGTTTCTATTCTTAACACTTTCCTTGGGGTGGGAGGGAGGGGAGAACTATTTATGTGCCTCTGAGGAAACCACATCATCAGAACAGGAAGGGCCTGGTTTCCTAGAAGTTTGCCATGAGGGAGGACCAAAACTCGACATGGATACGAACTCTTGGCTTTACTTTTTTATTGTTGTTTTTTGTTTTTGTCGGTCATGGGGCTGTCGCTCTGGGCCTGAGTGCTGTCCCCCAGCTCTTCAGCTCAAGGCGAGTGCTCTACCACTTGAGCCACAGCGCCACTTCCGGTTTTCTGGTGGTTTATTGGAGATAGGAGTCTGATAGTCTTTCCTGCCCAGCTGGCTTTGAACGTCAATCCTCAGATCTCAGCCTCCTGAGTAGCTAGGATTACAGGCATGAAAAACTATTGCCCATTGAAATTTGAAAAACTTTCTTTTTCATTATCTTTAAGTGGTTGTACAAAGGAGTTGCCATTCATCATCATAGAAAAACTTTTCAACGTGAACTTCTGATTGCCTCTGAGGGAGACTGGCTGTTCTGAATTAAATCAAATGGCTTCTTAATCCCTTCAAATCTATTAACCTTGTGATTCCTTTTGTATTAAAACCACATGGCCTTTCTAACAGTTAAATCTGAGATCCTTTAACAAATGAGAGATAATACAGCTTTGTAAACTTTGGGGACATAAATAAGCTGGTAAAATAAACATCTTTCATCAAAAGTCTTTTTAAATTCTCAACCATTTTCCCCCCTATATTACCTCATTAAATAATAGCATCCCTGGCTACTTAGACATTTTAAAAAGCCCTGAAGTAAAGGCCCAGCACAATAAATAATAAATAAGTAAATAAAATTGACTTCCTCTTAAAGATGTGTTTTGAACCTGGGTACACCATGCCTATTGATGGACATTTCAGTTGTTTCTACTTGGGGAGAAGAACAAAAAGAGCTGCCCTGAACTTTCTACATCTTTTCTCTCTATCTCTTTTTTTTTCTTGGTGCCAGTCTTAGACCCTGGGCACTATCCCTGAGCTTTTTTTACTCAAGGCTAGCATGCTAACACTTGAGTTACATTCCATTTTCAGCTTTTTGGTGTTTAATTGGAGATAAGAGCCTCATGGACTTTGCTATCTGGCCTGGCTCCAAACCATAATCGTCAGATCTCAGCCTCCTGAGTAGCTAGGATGACAGGTGTGAGCCACTGGTGTCCAGCTCTACATAGGTTTTGTATGAACACAAATCATTATTTTTGTAGTAGGTTTTTATTACATACATTAAATTGGTCTTTAATTCATAGCAACAAGACTTTTGCTGAATAATACTTTTGAAAAGAGGAGGCCATTATCAACCAGTAGGATGCAGAACCATTCCTTCTCCATTCTTTGATACTAAAGGACTCTCTAGGGCTGGGAAGGTTGCTCAGTGGTAGAGTGCTTGCCTTGAATGCATAAGGCCCTGGGTTCCATTCTTCAGCACCACATAAACAGAAAAAGCTGGAAGTAGTGCTGTGGTTCAAGTGGTAGAGCGCTAGCCTTGAGCTGAAGAGCTGAGTGACAGCGCTCAGGCCCGAGTTCAAGCCCCATGACAAAGAAAGAAAAAAAAAAGAAAGAAAGAAGGAAAGAAAGGAAGGAAGGAAGGAAGGAGGACTCTATAAACTAACAAAATTACAAACTGGGCCCACATGAACCATTCTCTTGGTTTGTGAATAGAATCTTAAACACCACTTGATTTATCACATTGTATGCCACGTCTTTTAACTGCTTCAAGTGTATTCCTACTGAAGTCACGAAAGAGCTCAGAATTAATTTTTTAATTAGTTCATTCATGCATGATTAATCATTGCAGTGTTCCCCATTCCCTTCAGATTTTTCTCCTTTTTTGAGCTTAATATAAAGTGTCTGTTGGGCTCTTTGTTAAAAGGGTTTCCAACTGTTTCAAAACCTGGTGTGTGTGTGTGTGTGTGTGTGTGTGTGTGTGTGTGTGTGTGTGTGTGTGTGTGTGTGTGAATGAATGTGTATACACTTATTTTTTAAATTAAAAAAAGTGCAAGCTGGACACTGAAGATTCATGCCTATAATCCCAGCTACTCAAGGGCTGAGATCTGAGTATTGAGGTTCAAAGCCAGCCCATGCAGGAAAATCCATGAGACTCTTATTTCCAATTAACCAGTAAAAAGCCGGAAGTGGCTCAAGTTGTAGAGCACCAACCTTGAACAAAAAAACTCATCACAATAATGGTACCAAATTTACCAACTGATATTATATATTCTGAAATGCTTTTATTTCTTTTGTTTTGATCTTGAGGGGAAAAAATATCAAACAAGGCTGATTCTTATATGTTGTCAACTTGGTGGTTTCCTTTGAGATGTGCCTATGTTTGCATTGAGGATAAAATTGTTCCTGCAGCTTCTATTTGTTATATATCTATCACCGTTAATCCTTTATAAAACCAAAAATGGTCATGGGTATAGCATGACAGGATCGTAAGACTTATTTGAAACTATATACACAAAAGTACTCCAGAAGTGATAAATGTTATACACATGTCATCTGCCATCTGTGTGAAATAAGCTATCACCACAAATCTTCTCTATGTCTTAGCATATCTATTATTAAGGGTATTTGATTTTTAAGTGGTACCCATAAATCTTAATGTTTAACAAATGCTCATTCTTTATTAATGGACTCAAAAACAATCTTTTCCATTTCATGTAAATAATAAGAGATATACTATGGAACTTATGTACAATATGTAGAACTCTTGTAGTAATAACTTCTAAGAGATCACCTGCGCATGACATAACATTTATAGATTATTATCATCATTATTAAATGTAAACTCCAAATTCTTGTTTTCATGGTGAAACTCCTTAGGTATCTTTCCTAAGGCTAAGACTTAAACACTTGGGGTTCTATACTAAACCAGTTATTAAACTTTACTTTATGTGCATTCATCTTTTTATGAGAAATAATCACCCTGATCCTGCAAGGCATCTCATAAATTACATGGGAACATTTCTTTAATAATAGAGCTAAGTGCTCACATTAAAAAAAAAAAAAGCCTGATGTTTGAAGAAACCCATGTTTCAAGATCTGCTAGTATTCTGTACTTGAGTTCTAAGCGTATTCCTACCCTGTAATTTTATTCCAGATCCATGGATAATAAAGTTGTCTAATACACTCTAAAATTTACGTCTAGCTATTTAAATGTCCACATATTTCCTTATATTGGGCTGTCTTTTAAATGTCGTAATTATAGGGAAGATACCCAGGGATCAAACCTTGTACTGACATGAAGAGTTGTTTATGTACATATATATATATATGTACATAATATATATAGATATAGATATATGCATAGGTTTATATGGCATATGTTATATAATTATATATACAAATATAATCTATTCATATATCATGTATATATAATATGTATTATCTACAATGCTACTATATATACTATACAACTACATCTTTTTGATGCATTCTTAAGATGAGAGAGTGTTATAGGGTTGACTTTATTCAAAAAATGCATGGGAAGGATTTTCCAGAAAACACTACTTTCCCAATAGATGTAATTTTTTTTCTGTTAGAAGTGAGCCATTTTGCTCCATTATTGAATAGAAAAAACCCAGGCTTGAGTTCCAACCCTCTAACTAGCACTAACTAACTAACTAAATAAATGAGAGATAGATATGAGAGAGAGAGAGAGAAAGAGAGAGAGAGAGAGAGAGAGAGAGAGAGATAATACAAATGCCTAAAGTTAGGAACAAACAAGGAAATCTTCTTCCCTCTTTCCCTGCTCCGGCCTTGCTCCTCAGCTGGCTAGGATAACCTTTTCTCTGGCATTCACCTGTGAGTCAGCCCCACACGAGGTCAATAAAAGGAAACAGGGGCAAGAATGTGCTCCCATCCATCCTCGACATGGTAGCCAAGGGAAACAGGAAGTAGCATGTTTTATTACCCAGTATCCTTTCATTGCTATTACGCATGCACTAAGCCCCAAGAGAAAAATGCTATTTGGTAATGACCTGATAACCACATTCTTGGAGCTTTGGTCCAAGAATGGTAAAAATCCAAACAATGCTAGAGGAAAGGAGAGGAGGGGGGAGAGGCAGAGCCAGAACAAAACAAAGTCCAATGTCCATTGTAATAAGTAGCTATGATTAAATTCAAGTTAACTAACTAAAAAGTGGAAATTTTAGATTATCTACATGGAGTATCTTATACAGTAATACTTTAAAAAAATGTTTTAAAAGCTTAGCAATTACTGTTAGTCAATTAAGTGTCTCAAAGTTTCATTGAAAATGTACTTTATGGGTGGGAAGGGATAGGGGAGAATTATGGAAGCAATGACATTGATCAAGATCCATTGTACTCATAAATTAATTGGTGGGATTGAAACCCCTTTGTACAACTACTTCAAGATAATTTTTTAAATGTACTTTATTAACCCGAGTGCTGGTGGCTCATGCCCATAATCCTAGCTACTCAGGAGACTGAGATCTGAGGATCACAGCCAGCCCAGGCAGGAAATTCCATGAGATTCTTTTTTTTTTTTTTGGTCGTGGGACTTGAACTCTGGGCTTGGGCACTATCCCTGTGCTCTTCAGCTCAAGGCTAGCGCTCTACCGCTTGAGCCACAACACCACTTCAGGTTTTCAAGTGGTTAATTGGAGATAAGAGTCTCACAGACTTTTCTGCCCGGCTGGCTTTAAACTGTGATCCTCAGATCTCAGCCTCCTCAGTAGCTAGGATTACAGGCATGAGCCACCGGTGCCCGGTGCCGAGATTCTTATCTCCAATAAACCACCAGAAAACCAGAAGTGGCACTGTGGCCCAACTGGTAGAGCACTAGCCTTGAGCTGAAGAGCTGAGGGACAATGCCCAAGCCCAGAGTTCAAGCCCACAACTGACAAAAAATAATAAATAAATAAATAAATAAAATGTACTTTATTAAGGGCCCAAATGGGTGCACGTAAACATGAGTTTGGCTGGTTGAGTTTGTTTGGTTGGATGATGTCTGGGACAAGTAGCATGGAGACAATAGTCTGGATGTGTGATAGGGACTGCAAGTAAATCCTATTAGGCTCTTGATTGGAGGTTTCTTTTTGAAGTTCTACTGTGTTTATATTTGCCAAAATACTAACACACACACACACACACACACACACAAGTCTATCAGGAAACTTACTCTAAGTACCAGAATCTGCTTCAGACATGCCTCCTTCTGCTCATCTTTCTCCCCATGTTGTTAAAAATCAAGGATTGAGATCTTTAAACAAGCTTAAATTGGTTTAACTAAGTGGAAAGTGTTCTAAAACGTCTGTAATGCTAGGTACTCAGAAGGCTGAAATCTGAAGATTGGGCTTTGAAGCCAGCCCCGGGAGAAAAACCTAACCAGCTAACTGCTGAAAGTAGAGGTGTGGCTGAAATAGTAGGTCAGCCTTGAGTGAAAAAGTTAAGGGACAGAGTCTAGACCTTGAGTTCAAGCCCAGTACTGGCATGCATGCATGAACAACACACACACACACACACACACACAATCTGAATTTTTAAAATGTTAAGTAGTGAGGGTTTACTGTCCTATGCTTTGCTAAGTTACTCGTTCCTTGCTTAGGGTAGGGAAGTAGTATCAAGCTCTAAAGCTGTCGTTAAGTTCCCCCCTGGTCTACCTTCATTCACCCATCCATTGATTACTGCCCTCATGCATTCATTTCACTGGACATAATTAATCTCGTGTGTGTGTGTGTGTGTGTGTGTGTGTGTGTGTGTGTTGATCCTGGGCTTGAACTCAGGGCCTAGGCACTGTCCCTGAGCTATTTTGCTCAAGGCTAGCACTCAACCACTTGAGCCATAGCTCTGCTCCCAGCTTCTTGGTGGCTCATTGGAGATAAGAGTCTCACAGACCTTCCTTCCCCGGGTTGGCTTGGAACCTTGCTCCTCGTATCTCATCCTCCTGAGTAACTAGGATTACAGGCGTGAGCCACTGGCGCTCAGTCATTATTATGCTTCATCATGTGGCTTGTGCTGATTTTGCTGGAAACTGAAGATGTGAAGGTATCTGAAATGCAGATCCTGTCCTCAATGACGAAATCAGATCCCACCTCCCACTTCCTCTCTAACCATACCCCTGCCATGGAAGCACAGAAACTAGAGCCTTTACCTCTGCCCTGAGAAGCTGGGAAGGGTATTTCTTTTTTTTTGGGGGGGGGGGAGGGGGGTCTAGTCGTGGATCCTGAACTCTGGGCCTGGGCTCTGTCCCTCAGCTCTTCAGCTCAAGGCTAGCGCTCTACCACTTGAGCCACAGTGCCATTTCCGGCTTTTTTTTCTTTTTGCTTATGTGGTGCTGAGGAATTGAACCCAGGGCCTCAGGCATGCAAGGCAAGTGCTCTACCACTGAGCCACCTTCCCAGCCCCTGGGAAGGGTATTTCTGAGGAGTTGTTAAGCAGCTAGGCAGGATGAGGGGTCAGTCCAGGGAACACCGTGCTTGGCAAAGGCACAGCATGTTCCAGAGCAGGGAGAAAAGATGGCTTCCTCTAGCTCATTGTTCTCTCCATGAATACAGAACTTTCCAGTAAACACGGTACTGTGTGCCTCTACTTGAGGAGAAGCTGAAGGTGGCCAAGAACTGTCTAGGGTTTTGTGTTTTGTTTGTTTTGCCCTAATATTTTCAGTAAATGCTGTCCATCCCTTCTAGATGCCAAATACAATCCTGGCCTACAAACTTTTCTGTTGTATTGGGGTAAAAACTCACTAACACACAAAGGGTGAATAGGACTGAAGAGCACAGAGTGGATGTTGAGAAGAACTGTGGCCTCCCCCATTAGACTTGGGATCCAGGAGACTGCAAATCCTTGGGTCTAACAGGCTAGATAAAACCCACCTCTCACTGGTGACCCGGATGCGCTCATCGCTGGATGACTGCTGCTCATCCTCCTTCTCCCGGAAGTGCTCCTGCACGCATTGCTCCTCGAACTCATGCAGTCTCTTCAGCTCCTCATCACTAAGGAACAGCTCTGGGTAAAGGAAGAGATGTGGGTCACGTGATGAGACAGGCAGCTGAGGGAAGAATCCTTGGGAATTTCTCAGCCTTACTGTAACCCAGCTCCATACTGTATTGGGGTGGAGGGGGGAGAACGAGGGGAGGCAGGCAGTTCCCTGACCTCCAATTAGTAACCATCTCTCACACCCTCCAAGAGAGACTGCTGTCTGTAGCAACCATCTTTATAATGGAGCAAAATGGCTCACCTTCTAATAAAAAAAGATCTGTTGGGAAAGTAGTATTTTCTGGAAAATCTTTCCCATGTATTTTATGAATGAAGTCAACCCTAGAATAGTCTCTCATCTTGAGATGCAATAAAACATTTTCAAAGGAACAGTAGATATGCATAGAGATGTATATAGAAGAAATTCCTTCGTTCCTTCCTGCGTTCCTTCCTTTTTTTTCCCTACTGGTCCTGGGGCTTGAACTCAGGGCCTGAATACTCACTCAAGGCTGACACTCTACCACTTGAGCCACACCTTTACTTCCAGCTTTTTGGTGCTTCATTGGAAAAAAAAAAAGAGTCTCATGGACTTTTCCTTCCTGGGATGGCTTTGAACTATAATCCTTAGATCTCAGTCTCCTGAGTAGTTAGAATTACAGGCATGGGCCATGAGTGCTTGGCTAGAAGAGATGATTTTCAAGAACTCAATTTCTCATCTCCAGCAGGTGGCTTTCAGCAATAGTGCCAAATAAATGAACAAAACTAGAATAAAATCTACAAAAAACAAGAAGCACTGTGAAGAAGCACAGCAGTTGGAAGGGAGTGTGACTTTCACACAGGTCTATGGAGATAAAACGAAGAGTTGGACACATACTCAATCCACGATCCCGTTCCTCTTGGTCGCCTTCTCTTTTCTTCCTGCAGCGGCCGCTGAGACGCATAATGATGATGTAGATGTGGCTCAGAATGATCATCGGTGGGGGTAGGACAGGCCTGTCGTGAAATGTCATGATCAGCTGATATCGTTGGAACTTCCACACCTGATTGGATATTGACTTGACTTCAAAGAAGGTATTGCTTTAAAAAGAAGACATTTTTTTTAAAGTTGCTTATTTTCCTTTCTTTCTTTCTTTCTTTTTTTTTTGGTCCAGTCGTGGGGCCTGAACTCTGGGCCTGGGTGCTGTCCCTCAGCTCTTCAGCTCAGGGCTAGCGCTCTACCACTTAAGCCACAGTGCCACTTCCAGCTTTTTTCTTTTTGCTTATGTGATGCTGAGGAATCGAACCCAGAGCCTCATGCATGCAAGGCAAGCGCTCTACCACTGAGCCACCTTCCCAGCCCGCTTACTTTATATTGTAATTTGCCAGATCAATCAGTTACTCAGGTTGAAATAAAAATACATTGTCACTCAATACTGATTCCTTGATTACCTAATTTTTTTAAATTTACCAATGTGAATTATCTATGCTCAAGGACATTTTACTAATATAAATATAAATTAGGCATATTAAATTGATAGACACTGATGTTTAAAAAAAAAACAACCACCAAAGTGACCTTTACTAATTCATATGTTTGTATGAATTTATTTGATATATATAAGAGTCTGGGGGTGTCGCTGAGCTGCTTTTACTGGAGTCTAGCATTCTAACACTTTGAGTCACAGATCCACTTCCAGTTTTCTGGTGCTTAATTGGAGATAAGAGTCTCACAGACTTTGCCGCCCAGGATGGCTTTGAACCATGATCCTCAGATCTCAGCCGCTCACATAGCTAGGATTACAAACACAAGTCACTGGTGCCTGGCCAATTTCGTATTTCTATGAAGGGAATTCTTGCTCTTGTATTTTTCATATTAGAAGCTAAAAAACGTTCTCAACATTTATTAAGCATTATCAACATAGTTAATGCATCAGGCCAAATGGATAAGTTATGAATTAAGCCTGATTTTCTAATTTAAGTCTATTTGTTTGGCTTATGCTATGATTCCAAAAGTGATAAGATATTTTCCATAGTATTATAATAATTGTAACAGCTTATGAAATTAACATTGCTTTTGTGCCTCTGATAATGAAAAATAAACGCACAACTTGATCAAAACTTCTTTACACCGGGAGCCTTCAGCTTAATAAAATATTTTCATTAGATTACAAGATACACTAAGTACTAAAATACAAACCAAGATTAAATTTAAATGTACTTAAGTGTTGACTCATGAGTTGCTAATACATTAACACTGATTAAATTTGGGCGGAAAAAAAACCCAAACGACTGTAAAAATTCAATCCATTTAAAAGCTTGGTTCGGCACCAGTGGCTCACTCTTGTTATCCTAGCTACTTAGGAGGCTGAGATCTGAAGATTGTGGTTCAAAGTCATCCCCGGGGGCTGGGAAGGTGGCTCAGTGGTAGAGCGCTTGTCTTGCATGCTTGAGGCCCTGGGTTTGATTCCTCAGCACCACATAAGAAAAAAGCCGGAAGTGGCACTGTGGCTCAAGTGGTAGAGCGCTTGCCTTGAGCTGAAGAGCTGAGGGACAGCGCCCAGGCCCAGAGTTCAGGCCCCACAACCGGACCAAAAAAATAAATAAATAAAACAAAGTCATCCCTGGCAGCAAAGTTCTTAAGACTCCTATCTCCAATTAACCAGCAAAAACCCGGAAGTGTGGCTAGAGCAGTATAGTACCAGCTAAGGGATGGTGCTTAGGCCATCTCTTGATGAGTGAATCTGAAGTCTCAGTACTGGCATAAACATAAGTAAGTACCATAAGAGCGCTAGTGAGGCTCTCTACAAACATACACCGTGTGAGATTTTGCTGAGATCTCAACGGAAAAAAAAAATCTGTCGCATAGTTAACAAAAAGGACACGTACTTGAAAACAGCAATCAGCAGGTTGACAAGCAGGATGTTTGCCACTAGCAGGTAGCAGGCCATGAGGACAGGAGTAAGCCAAGCACCCGGGATGCAAGGAGGCAGACGCTTGCCCTCTTCATCATAGAGGTTTTCACCACAAGGAGCTGAAAGAAAAGCTTGTCTGCCTGTGCTTGTTTTTAAAACAACATGCAATCACTATAAATAATCTGCTAAATGTCTTATGAAAGAACTTATTTTTCCCCTTTTTTGGGGGGACAGGGGCAGGGTTTAAACTCAGAGCCTTGAGCTTGCTTGGCTTTCATGCCCATAGGCAGTACTCTACCACTTGAGCCACGCCTCCAGCCTGTTTTTCTGTTGTTGGTTCATTGGAGATAGGAGTCTCCGATTTGTGTGCCCAGCTTGAGTTCAAAGGGAAAGTCTCCACATCTCAGCCTCCCGAGTAGCTGGGGTTACAGGTGTAAATCACTGATGCCTGGCTCCTATTTCTATTTTGATGTGATTTTTTTTTGTCTCATAAACATTAATTTCCCCAGCAAAAAAAAAAATTAATCCATATAAAGAAGAGGGTAAGAAAACACTTTCCTGCACATTCATTCTTGGCCTGTGATATTAGTAAACATTTCCTCATTACCTGATGCTTTTTCACGTAATGATTAAACAGATAAATCTATTTTTTCAGAGCCTTCCATATTGTTATCTATCATATAAAGTTCTGATTATTTAACATTCGCTTCTGCTATCTACTGATTATTTCCTTGATTACACATATGCATTCAGTTTAAAAATTATATTGTTTTGAGATGTGAGCAGTTCCCACTACCTTCAAACATCCATTCCTCTGCTTATTTGAAATGCCACTTCCATCCTAGGAGCCCTATTTCCCAAAAGGGAGAAAAATAGAATGGCACCAACACTGAATTTATATTGTCTGCTTACTATTTTACTTACAGTTTTAAAAAGCACTCACCAAACCAGGCACCAGCGGCTCATGCCTGTAATTCAAGCTACTCAGGAGGCTGAGATCTGGAGGACTGAGATTCAAAGCCAGTCTGGGCAGTCTAAGAGTTCCATAACCAATCACCCAGCAAAAAGCCAAAAGTAGAGATGTGGCTCAAGTCGTAGAGTACTAGCTTTGAGCAAATAAAGCTAAGGGACAATGCTCAAGTCCTGAGTTTAAACCTGAGGTCTGGCACACGCGCGCACGCACGCGCACACACACACACACACACACACACACACACACACACACACACCTTTTGTCACTAGAGGACAGAAGACCTACTTGAAAATAGTATAAGATTATCAGTAACTAGTGAAGTTAAAGACTATTTAATAAACACCTGTTCACAAACTGATTTCTCAATGCCACATGAACTTACGATTAATTTCCATGGCGTACACTGCATGGTGATTTCACAGCAGATTTTGTTTTTTCAGTTGTGATGGAAGGGAAGGAGAGAGAAAACAGAACAATTGAGAAGGAAATCAGACCATGCACTAGCACAAAAACTGCTTTCCTGGAAGAAAATACAAAGATGTGAAGCTTGGGGATTAGAGATTCATGCTTAGACACAGAGCTCTGCTCAGATTTGTATCCATTTTCGAGTCTCTGAAATGTATCTCATTATTTTTTAGGTCCATAAGCAACAGCAAAAGCTTTCATGTTAAAAATACTGTGAAAAAGACACATAACTGGCAGATGGTTGTTTTTAACTTAGGGTTTAACCAAACCAAGCATCTTAAATATTCTAACACAAACAGCAAATCATCACAAATAGATCCAAAGATTATTACACGCTAGATCAAGAATTGAAACCCTACATTTAATGGTGTTATTGAAAGCAATAGAACTTTTTGAATCCATCTTTATCTTCTCTAATTACTGAAATGAATGAGTAAAAAAAAAATCAACCACCAGCAATAAAAGTATTATAGTTGATAGCTAGAGTCCAGGATTTTTTCAATGCATGTTTTACCTAATATGCTAATATGCCTAAAAGCTAATATGCTTTTTTCCTACTGGTAGTTCTGGGATTTGAACTCATACTTGTTAGACAGTCCTTAGTAAAGTTCCCAGCCCCATTTTATTTTGTTGAAAGGGCCTTGTGCTTTTTACCCAGGGCCGGTTTCAAACCCTGATCCTTCTACTTCTGCTTCTCCTGTAGCTGGGATTACAGTTGTGTACCATCACACCTTCCCTGAGACTAATATGCTTTTACATTTATATTTTTTGTCTCAGAACCTCCCACTCTCACTCCGCTATCTTGATCATAGTAGATGCTCTTACCACTTGAACCATGCCTCTAGTTCAGCATTTTGCCGATTCATTGGAGATGGAGTTTTATGGATTTTTCTTCCCAGGTTGGCTTTGAGCAGAGATCCTCTAGGTCTCAAACTTTTCTGAACAGCTAGGATTATAGGCATGAGCCCTTGGTGCCTGGCTCTAATATGCTTTTGAATCCAAATTAGACTTTATATTTTAGTTCATAAACACAATCAATAGTTGACTTTACCACAGCTGTGATATTGTTGTTATAAAAGCTAGATAGAACATCCTGTGTCTACAGACACCTCTGTTTCGTGTGAAAGGAGGATGTTCAAGGCTTTCTATTCACAAAGAGCAGGGCTCAAGAAGTGGCAGACCAGCCAGGAGCTGGTGGCTCATACCTGTAATCCTAGCTACTCAGGAGGCTGAGATCTGAGGATCGCAGTACAAAGCCAGCCCAGGCAGGAAAGTCCATGAGACTCTTATCTCCAATAAAAACCACTAGAAAACTGGAAGTGGCGCTGTGGCTCAAGCTCGAGCTGAAGAGCGCAGGGACAGCACCCAAGCCCAGAGTTCAAGTCCCACGACCCACCAAAAACAAAAAAGAAGCAACAGACCTGCTATCAACTCATAACCCTTTGGAATAAAAGCACATAACGTGTAAATGAGAAGGTTGATACTGACATGAAAATAGGACTGAATGGCCTCTTTCACTGGTGGAGCCTGAAATGTCCTGGAGAAGTAGATGCAAGAGCATTTGAAATTCACATCCCTTTAACATAGGAGATACTGAGATCTACCAGCTCAGCCTACAAACAAGCTGGGGCCTATTGTTTCCAGAAATCCATTCAGGATTGTGGTTTATTTCCTCTGCTCACATCTAGATTATTGTCCACAAATTAAAAAAAAAAAAGCACACCTTGTCTGCATATATTAGATCTTCCCATTGGAAGCTGAGTGTCAGGAGCTCACGCCTGTAATCCCAGCTACTCAGGAGACTAAGATCTGAGGATCATGAATAAAAGCCAGCAAGGGTACACAAACCAATAGACTATTACCTCCAACTAACCAGCAAAAAGCCAGAAGTGGAGGGTGGAACAACAGCCTTTGAGTAAAAAAGCTAAGCAAGAGAGCGAGGTTTTTGGTTCAAGTCCCCCAGTACTGGCACATATACACACAAAAGCCATCACATTGGAACCCATGAACATGAAAAATTATATGGAGGTTAAAATAAATAAATTTTTTTGTCGGTCATAGGGCTGGAACTCTGGGCCTGGGCGCTGTCCCTCAGCTTTTCAGCTCAAAGCTAGTGCTCTACCTCTTGAGCCACAGCGCCACTTCCGGTTTTCTGGTGGTTTATCGGAGTTTCATGGCTTTTCCTGCCTGGGCTGACCTTGAACCGAGATCCTCAGATCTCAGCCTCCTGAGGAGCTAGAATGACAGGCGTAAACCACCAGTGCCCAGCTAAAAAATATTTGAAAATAACAGTCATGAAAAGGGAAAGGGCAGCTCTATGGAAGTGGCTTCGATGGCCTGAAGAGGGCTACATGAGTCATGAGTTACTCTGCTGTACCCCACTAGCTTTCCTCCTGGATATGAAGATCCTGGGGTTGAAGGAAAACTAAGATATTGGCATTGGCACTCCATTTGACACAATGTCCCAGAGGTCCAGCTTAAGAGATCTGAGACTTTCAGACTCTTTTTGTACGTGTGTGCCAATACTGGGGCTTGAACTCAGGGCCAGGACCCTATCCCTTAGCTTTTTCACTCAAGACTGGCCGTCTACCACTTGACTCACAGCTCTACTTCTGGCTTTTGGGTGGTTCATTGAAGTCTTTAAGAGTCTTACAGACTTTTCTGCTTGGGCTGGCTTTGAATTGAGATCCTCAGATATCACCCTCCTGAGTAGCTAGGATTACAGGCATAAGCCACTGGCACCTGGCCTCTTTCAGACTTCTAATGAATGATTCCAAGAGAGAAAAAAGAGGGGCTGGGAAGGTGGCTCAGTGATAAAGCGCTTGCCTTGCATGCCTGAGGCCCTGGGTTCGATTCCTCAGCACCACATAAGCAAAAAGAAAAAAGCCGGAAGTGGCGCTGTGGCTCAAGTGGTAGAGCGCAGCCTTGAGCTGAAGAGCTGAGGGACAGCGTTCAGGCCCCACGACCGGACCCCCCCCCCCAAAAAAAAAAAAAAAGAAAAAAGAGCGAGACATAAACCTTGTCGCAAAATTGATACTTCATAATATGTACTTATTTGATGTCTATGGCAGTGTGAAAAATAAGTTCTTGCTATATGAATACATGTTATCTCATTCATCTGCCCTAGAAGCAGGGAAGAGAATCTTACTATGAATTCTAGTCTTACGGTCAATCTGGTCTGCAAACACTTCGCCGTAGATCATCCAGTAAGGCATGTAGAAGATGTTGCGGGCCAGTTTCCAAGAAGGCTTCTCCTCAGGGTGCAAAATGGCCTGACGGGCTACACCAAAACTCATCAGCACAACCAGCATGATGACCACGAAGTACAGCATGTCAATCATCTGCGGAGAGAACCCCGTAAAGTCTCTTACATTCTTGACCGCTGAACCAGGTTCACACTGGTTCATTATATAGCTGACTCTAAAAGTTCCATGATTGCATATTTAGGATGAAGAATACCTCTTTCCCTTCTTTCCTTTCCATCCATGGGCTACTAGACTTTGTCTCCTCCATGCAAGTATATGTCTTATTCTAGAACATTGCTGTCTTCATCTGCTCCTAGTCTTTCTTGCTGGCTTCTCTTCTCTGTTCATTGTGATAGTCTGGTTAATTGGAGATCGGAGTCTCACAGACTCTCCTGTCTGGTCTGGCTTTGAACTGTGATCCTCCTTAGCTTCCTGAGTTGCTAGGATTGCAAATATGAGCCACTAGCCCCTAGCTTAGGACACACACACATACACACACACACACACACACACACACACACACACACACACATACACATATGTGTGTGCATGTATGTACATATACTACTCTATATATGTTATATATTATAAATATAATTACATACACATTATTTGTTTCTTATGATTGGTAGCTGGGAAAAATACATGACAATAGGCCTTCAATTCTTGTTTTCCTACTGAGGATTATTTAAGATACACAGGTGAACTGTGTAACTCAAAGCAAAGAATATTTTCTGTGAGAAACTAACTACAAAACAAGGACCAAATGAAACCAAAGGAAGCCACACCCGAGACCTGATCCTACTGTCCTAACCACAACTGAAATAGCTCTGGTTACTCATAGGAAGCCATTACTAACCATCTTCCCAATCATCATCACATAAGGGCCAAGATACTTGTTGACACCAAAAATGTCCAAGACGCGGATATACCAAAGGATGATGTCTACACAGTAGATGACCCGGCCATAGCCCATATATGGCTGGTTCTGTAGGCGAAGAATGGCTCCAACCATGAACATGGAAATGGCCACAAGGTCTGTGATGTTCCAGTATTCCTGAAGCCATACTTTAATTTTCTGACTGAGTTTGCCGGGTTCTGACATGAGGATCTGAAACAAACAAAGAGAACATTCAACAGAGAGGCCCTTCTTAGAAGTCTTGTCTTTCCTTAGCATCTTGGAAAGATAAGACGGGTGGAACATTCCAGGGCTTCTGGTCCCTTTCCAGAGTGAGATGAGTAAACACGAATCTCAGGCAGAGGGAGATATCTAGAAAGGGAAATTCCATGAGATCCTCTGCATTCTTAGATTCAGGGTTTTATAAGCTCTCAGGAAATGCCTTCTAAATGGTCTCCTTCTGGCTGTAATAAAAGCAGTTGTTATTTGATTTTTTTTTATCTGGACACATATGCTTGTTGCTTCCAATTCTAGACTTGCATAGAACTTATATATAAGTCAGATTCTAGATGTAGATAGCAGGAATGAATTGGGTGGGGATGATAGACAGAGACAAGGAAATGTTGTTTTGCCAGAGTTCTTTTGCAGCTTTGACATGAAAACTCATGGGAAACATTGAACCAGATGTGCCCCAGATAGTATCCTTTTGCCACTGGTTAAACGGTGACTTCTACAGGGAGAAATGGAAAATGTACAGCCGCATAGAATGATTGGCTGTGGTGCCCGTTTAGTTCTGGAAATTGTGGGTAGATTTCAGGACCCCAGGATTGGAGAAGCCAACACGGAAGGGCTTACTATTTTAGTTTAGTTTAGTTCAGTTTTTGATTGGTTGATCATGGGGCTTGAACACGGGGGCAGGGTACTGTCTGTAAGCTTTTTTGCTCAAGGCTAGCTCTCTACCATTTTGAGCCCACAACTCCACTTCTGGTTTTCTGGTGGTTAATTGGAGAGAAGAGTTTCACAGATTTTCTTGCCCACACTGGCTCTGAACTGCAATCCTTAGATCTCAGCCTCCTGAGTAGTGAGGATTACAGGCATGAGCTACCAGCACCTGGCTGTGTACTAGTGTAACAAGCCATGTATACTAGCTGACAGCTGCACTCTCTCTCCCTCTACTGTAATTGAAGGGCAGACACCTAAGGTAAAGACCAGCATCTTGGTGGATATCGGAAAATTAATAAGGACTACATAGATCTAGAGATGTGACGGAGAACCCTTGGAAAGTTCTGGTTTTAGCAATCTCAGAATTTGAATGGAGCCTCACTAGGAATGCAAGAGTGATCCTAGAAGATGATGGGAGGTACTGTTCTGACTTGCAAATGTCTTAGTTTCTTAGTTTCTGATTAGACTTCATTCTACTTGGATGAGGTTATCAAGCCAATTTCCAGTTCATTAAAAGCATCAAAGTAACCGCAGAATAATAGTATTAGTTTCGTATCCACTGGAGAAAGGCTAGGAAATTGGGCTGTATGCTTACGTGGGCGTGCACACACTTCTGTGTATGTGTGTGTGTGTGTGTGCACGTACTAGTACTAGGGCTTATACTCAGGGCCTCAAGCTCTTTGTTGACTTTTTTTTTTTTTTTTTTTACTTTGCTCTAGGCTGGTGCTCTACCATTCGAGCCACATCTCCATTTCTTCCTTTTTTGTTGTTGTTTATCTGAAGTTAAGAGTCTTATGGACTCTCTTGCCTGGGCTGGTTTCAATCCTCGATCCTCAGATCTCAGGCTCCTGAGTAGCTAGGGTTACCGATGTGAGGCACCAGCACCCAGTGGGTTCTGTATCAGGGTCGTTTTTCACTTGTGTACACACTTTCCCTTGACCAGTGAATAGAGTTGTGAAATCACCTGTAGGTGATCTTGGAGAGAAAAGTTCCTGGCCCTCTTCTGTTGGCAGAAATTGCCTTCTTGGCTCTCCCTTTGAGCCCGGAGGTATGAGTCAAAGCGTCTATCCTTTTCTCAACACCTAGCTGAAAATCTCGTTCTTTCTCTTACAGTAGATCCTCGGCCCCACCCACCTCTCTGGAATGTTTTTTTTAATTATCAGATGGGCATGCCCACTCTGCCCAGTGCTGGTGGTCCTAGAAACCTTTCCCCTTTCTGGGAGGCTTGCCCTTCGGCAATTGGAGCCACCTCCGTGGTAGCTGCCAAAAGACTGACATAGGTGGAAAACTTCTCTCCCTTATCTCAAGATAGCATAGATTTGCCAGAATCCAGTGCCAATGCAGGGAGATTACCTGTAATATTTGGCTGATCTCAGACCTCACTCAGCTCCCTCCCTTCCCTGGGACCTCCCTCCCTTGCTCATTGTCAGTGAGAAACTTCCAGAACCTTCTACCGATTTCCTTGCCAAAATCTCCTGTACAAAAGTCCAAGGGTGGGCTGGGAAAGTGGCTCAGTGGTACAGCGTTTGCCTTGCATACATGAGGCCCTGGGTTTGATTCCTCAGCATCACATAAGCAGAAGAAAAAAAGCCAGAAGTGGTGCTGTGGCTCAAGTGGTAGAGCGCTAGCCTTGAGCTGAAGAGCTGAGGGACAGTGCCCAGGCCCAGAGTTCAGGCCCACGACCAGACCCAAAAAAAAGACCTAACTGCAAAAGTCCAAGGGTGCAATCCGGCAAGTGCACAGGGTGAACCCAAGTCTCAAGCTCCAACCACTACCACAACAAAAAAAGTTACCCACATCCTTCCATTTTTAGTTTAAAGTCCCAGAAAAATGACACCCCCACACACAAGACTGTACCCAGTTGAGCAGCTGATTCATTGTCAAGGAGCATTAAGGCATTGGCATTAACTTGTTGTTGTTGGTTGTGAGGCTTGAACTCAGGGTCTGGGCACTGTCCCTAGGCTGCTTTTCCTTAAGGCTAGTGCTCTACCACTTTGAGCCACTGATTCACTTCCGGCTTTCTGGTAGTTCATTGGAGGTAAGAACTCGGGGACTTTTCTGCCCTGGCTGGATCTGAACCACAATCCTCAGATCTCAGCTTCCTGAGTAGCTGGAATTACAAGTGTGAGCCATTATTACACTCCCTTGGCTTTAACTTTTAAGTCCACACAAACCTGTTTGTGTCATTCAAGTCATGTTTTTGGCTTTGTGTTTGGACTTTTGCAAGTTCAAATTCAGTCACTGATGTGGGAAACAAGTGCATGGAATAAATTTGGGATGGTGGCAGGCTCCAAGATGAAGTCAGTGGCCTGCAGAAGGCCTGAAATTGAAGTCCATGGTGGGCAGGGCTGGGACAAGCCTGTGCTGTAATCACCTCACGTATTTTCTCTAGTGCCAGGCTCACGATGTAGGAGATCACGATCCACTCCTGGAAGGAGGGCCAGCCGTCCATGCGTACCAGGATGACATAGTTAAACAGCAGTAGGTAGGCCAGGTACGATATCTGAAGGAAAGAAAAGCTGTTGGCTGGTTTTTTGGGAAATAAACCTTAGAATTCGATTTTGAAACTTTATTTTCAGATCGATGCATCTTTTGTATTGAATTTTCCCTCCCTTTATCCGTCTTTTCCTTCCTCCCTCCCTCCTTCCTTCTCTCTTCTTTGTCTCTCTGTCTCTCTGTGTCTCTCTATCTCGCTCTGTCTCTGTGTCTGTTTCTGTGTCTGTCTCTGTCTGTCTGTCTGTCTCTCTATCCTTTCTCTCTTTCTCTTTTCTAGTACTAGGGATTGAATTTTAGACCTTATTACTTGAGCCACACCTCTAAGCCTTTTTGTATGCTTCTTTTTTTTCTTTTGTAGGTCCCTGGAGCTTGAACTCAGGGACTGGGCACTGAGATTTATCGCTCAAGGCTAGCACTCTATCACTTTGAGCTACAGTGCCATTTCTGGTTTTCTTGGAGTTAAGAGTCTCAGGGACTTTCCTGCCTATACTGGCTTTGAGCCATAATCCTCAGCTCTCAGAATTCTGAGTAGCTAAGATTACAGGCAAGCACCACCAGCACATTCGATTGCATTTTGGTTTTGAGATAAGGAGTCTCGCTAAATTTGCCCAGGGCCCTGCCTAGAACTCACATTCCTCTTATCTCCCAAGGTGCTAGAATTACAGGTGGGAACCACTACCTCTGGGCTTCTACAATGGATTTTTCTTTCCCCTGTTTAGAGGACAGCTCCTTCCATGTCACCAGTGCTGGGAGAGAGAACTTGGAGGCAGGTTGGAGGCATTTCTCCCTTGAGCATGACATGGGCTCTGCCATTTTGTTTTCTGCATGAAGAGGTATTTGTTGGTGGTGGTTTCCTCATGGGGAAACGAACAAGGGGAAAGAATGCTGATACTCAGGGGGCACTTGCAATGATTTGCTGGTGGGGGAGACTAGAAAGGTTCCTAACTCCTTCCCACCTCCCACGTGCTGCTCTCGAATCTCTCTCCTGCTGAAGAAGATTGTGAGAAGTTACCAAGGGAGGAACATGTGGATGAACCAAGTGCTCAGGACCACAAAGTTGACTTCAAGCCCCTTGATTCCCAGTAAGCCTTTGATATCCAGCAGCCACAAGAGACGCTCAACCTTTGTGACAAGGGAAGAGGAAGAACTGGAGGTAGGGGATGAGGTGAGGAATGGGGTAAGGGTGGTAGGAAGGCTGATTGTCCATGAAGCCATGAGAACCTCCCCTCCTTGTTCTTCAAGATTTCCAGAAAACAAACCCGTGGCAGCTGCTTGATGGCATGTAGCTGCCAAAAGCTGGGCGTCCGAGGCGCCTCTTCCCCTCAGAGCTCTCTCCGGGCCCCTGTCTAACCTTCATCCTTTGCTCCATCTGTGAGCTTGGACCCAGCCCCCATGTATCTCCACCTGCTCCTTTCTGCCTGATCACCAATGGAACCATAGCACCAGGGCCTTCCTCAACGGCAGAATACTGCCAGAGATCTATTATCCATTCTTCACTGTCCAAGTCAGAATGTGGCCACAGACACCCCTCCTGGAACTAACTGCCTGTAGCCAGGCTGGTTATCTCCAAAGGTACTTTAACCTCTGAACTTTCCTCTCTCAACTCTTGTTTCCAAGGGGCCACCCTCATGATTCCTGGATTCCGCAGGAGGCCAGAAAGTTGGTGTGCTGCTAAGTGGGTCAAATGTGCAAGCACTTTAGAGCAGAAAGCTGTTGATTTACTTTCCTATTCTAGGAGCGTATGAACTGGGTTCAGCCATACTTTGGTGTTAAAAGCATGGTACCAAACTGTGGTTGTATTGGGAGGTGGTGAGCCTTTAAGAGATTGAGTCTACTGCAAAGTAGCTCATTGGTAGAGATAGGATATTAGAACCCTCGTCCCTTTCTCTTGCTCTCTCTTTTGGTCCCTGTCTACAAGGGAAACTGTTTTCTCCAAAACTAATAGGTCACTCAATCATGAACTAGAACCTCCCAAACTGTGAATCAAAGCAAACCTTCTCTCTTTATACATTGATCATCTCAGTTACTTCATACAGTGACAGAATGCTGATTGATGCCCCTGTCCGTTTAATGAAAAATGAGATCTATGAGTATGTTAATTCATTTTATTTGTCTTAAAATCATACTTTCAGTCAGGTTTCAGTGTCTCATACTTGTCATTCTGGCTATTCAGGAGACAGAGTTCTGGAGGATTAGGGTTTGAAGCCAGCCTGGGCAGAAAAGTCGGTGAGACTCCATCTCTAAATTAACCAGAGTAAAGCTAGACTGGGGGTGTGACTTAAATGGGAAAGTGCCAGTTGAGCAAGTAAGCTGAGTGAGCAGGAAGCTCAGACTTCAAACCCCAATTCCACCAAAAAAAAAAAATTAGCTAATTTTCTTTCCCTACATTTAGATTACTAAAGGCCTTAGAAAAACAGTTCGTTCCTCTTAGGCCAACAGAATGTGATTATTTTAACTTTTGAAATGGTGTATCTGGGGCTCAGTTAGCCATTTTCTTGCATACTTATAAATATATGACAAGATATTAGATCTTATTTAAGTTAGGATCCAATTAATTCCAATTTTGTTTTCATAATTCATTTTAACACAGTGAATTTTAGATATTTTTTTTTCCTTTTTTCTTTTCCTTTCTTCTTCTTTTTTTTTTTTTGTGCTGGGGCTGGGGCTTGAACTCAAGTCCTGAAGCTCTGTCCCTGAGCTTCTTTTGTTCCAGGCTAGGACTTTCCCACTTGAGCCACAGCTCTACTTCTGGCTTTGTGGAGGTTAATTGGAGATAAGAGTCTTGAACCATGATCCTCATATCTCAGCCTCCTGAGTAGCTAAGGATGACATGAATGAGCCATGGGCACTGAAGAATTTTAGATACTTTTTAAAATATCTAAGATATTCCAACATAATTCAGAATTCAAAACAGGCTTAATGGGAAATTTGAAGGAGGAGGCCTTACTGTGTAAAACCAGAACTTGACAATGGGAGCATTGTAGAATTCACAGATTTTTGTTCCAATGGGAATGCTTTTCTGCTTTTTGTGCTCATTCTCCTCATCCCCCTTTCTGGAACCAGCATCCGCATTTGCATCCTGAAAATCAGAACACAGCAGGCATATGATAGAGGAACCTTTAACAAGTCAGAAAGTACCTTCAAAGTACCCCCAAGTCTCAAAGTACCCCCAATTGACAAAGGCTCTAAATTTACAGTAAAGGAAATTACACCAGTTGAGGAAAAAAAGAGCCAATGGGACAGTTGGAACCAAGAGAATTACCAACCACATTCTCTTCTTCTTTTTCTTTGCCATCTTCGTTTTCCTTGGATGTTTGATATGAGAGATCATCGTATGTTCGGAACTCCAAAAACAAGATGGTGGGGGGGATGAGAATCCCCATGATAACCTATAAACAATGAGAAAGAAATCTGATTCTGAAGCTACAGTAATGGTAGAAAAGTTTCTCAGTATAGTAATTCCTCAGTATCTACGTGGGATAGTTTTCAGGCCCCAGCATGGGTACCAAAATCTTTGGGCACCCAATGCCTAGTAGCCCAGTATTCGCACATAATCTGTATGCATCTTCTGTATACTTTTGTCAGTCATGAGGCTTGAACTCCAGGCCTGGGCACTGTCCCTGAGCTTTTTGTCTCTACCACTTGAGCTATAGCTCCATTTTTGGCTTTTGGGGTCAAGGGGGGGAATTTATTGCAGATAAGAGTCCCATGGACTTTCCTTCCCAGATTAGCTTTGAACCATGATCAATAGGTCTCAGCCTCCAGAGTAGCTAGGATTACAGGTGTGAGCCATTGGCACCTAGCCTGAGATGCAGTGTTTTGATCTGAGGTTGGCTGAATCTGAGGAGGTGAAACTTTTGGATGTGGAGGGTTGAAGGTCTCGCTGCAGATTTCAAATGATAATCTTCTTAGCCAAGAATCTGTGGTTCCTGGGTGATGTTTAGCCCTACCCTGGGCCATTTTGTGCCTTCTACATCGGTACGATCACAGACAGTGAAACATTCAAGACTGTCCACGGAAGTTTCAGAGAAATGGCATGAGAAGGGAGTCAGGGCTCAGCCGTGTGCTCCATTGCTTGTCACCATGGTTCTCACAAGTCTAATGACTGTGTCACACTGACCTTAAGGCCTGGGTTCTTCCTCATCCGAAGCCTTCCCATCCACATGTCAGTCAGTAACATCTGACTGCAGGTATGAGCAATGAAGTCTCGATGTTTTGCTGCCACAGCCAGCTTGAGGCAGGTTGAGTTGCTCCAGTTTTTTAGCTCGTAGGTTAGAAGTTTCATGGCAATCTGCTCATCGTGCTTATAGGACTGGTCTAACAACTCCACCGCAAGCTGGCCAAAGTCTCTGCAAAGAAAGAGGTGGAGGTGGCCTTGAACTCTCTCTTTTGATTCATGTTCACAGGGACTTACAGAGCTGCAGGACACAGAGTCCAGGGTCGGAAGGAGCTTTGGTATTTGCTGCAAAATGCTTGTTGAGATGGCCAGGGCAGGGACTCCATGAGCAGTTGGGTTGGAGATTGACTGCTCCTCCTACAAATAGAACTTTGGTTAGCTGCAAATCTGCTTCTCAGCTGGGTGCCTGGTGGCTCACTCCTGTAATCCTAGCTACTCAGGAGGCTGAGATCTGAGGTTTGTGGTTTGAAGCCAGCCTAGGCAGGAAAGTCCATGAGACTCTTATCTCCCGTTAACCACCATAAAACTGGAAGTATCTTGAAGTGGTAGTATGCTAACCTTGAACAGAAAAGCTCAGGGACAGTGTCCAGGCCCTGAGTTTAAGCCATAAGACCGACAAGAAAAAAAAATCCTGACTTGATGGACAAAGGTTTAACCATAATAGTCCTTCAGTGAGAATAATAATAATAATAGCATTATAATATTATAACTATATTACATATTAATATATCTATATAATAATTGTATATTATATATTACTGTTGCATAGTAATTATATTATATATAATAAATTCTATATAATATAATATATATGAATGTATATAAAATGTATACAAATATATAAAAATATATAAATTATATATAATATATAATTATAATAACAATCCTTGCAGGGAAGGTCACAAGTAGTTGGGACACAAGTCTCACTGGGCCCTTTAGATTTTCTAGATACTGACTTGGAATTGTTGTCCAGGTCCTGGGAGATGTCATCCACCAGCTCGCTCTCCGAGGACTCGTGGGCCATGGCTTTGTAGAGCTTACAGGCCACCAAGGCCTTGGCCATGCTCTCCTCCCCTCTCTGCCAGAGGAAGATGGCCATCTTCTGGCGCTTCATCAGTACGGCCCACACCATCAGCTCGTGGAATGGGTACTGGAATCGACTCACAGCTGGGTCATCCACATCGATGTCGATCTCTTCCTCCTTTTTCTTCTTTTTCTTCTTCTTCCCTTTGGTGGGAGGTTCATCATCCTAAGGGGAGAGGGGGAAAAAACATGTTGTTTTCATGATTCTTCCTGAATGTGTAACAAAATGATATGGGTTAGTAGCAAAGCAGTCCTAGACACTTGCAGATGGTAAAGTAAGTTGATAAACCAGGACCTGCCCCACAGTTGAAATGGGGGCAGAAGGCTACAAGAGAATGAAGAAGGCAGACACTGGTGGCTCACACCTGTAATCCTATACTACTCAGGAGGCTGAGATCTGAGGATCATGGCTTAAAACCAGCCCAGGCAGGAGAGTCCATGAGACTCTTATCTCCAATTAACCACCCAAAAAACCAGGAGAGAAGTTGTGGCTCAAAATGGTAGAGCTCTAGCCTTGAGCAAAAAAAGCTCAAGGGATAGCGCCCAGGAGTTCAAGCCCCATGTCCAACACAAAAAGAAATGTGTGTGATCTTTTTATACCATTTGGCCAAGGCATTTAAGTAGATTTTGCTGGGTTGTGTAGTGAACTTATTCATGGGGAACAAACTTGCTCAGTTTTATGTTAAATATAATCTGAATACACACATATGTTGACTAAGATTTCACAAAATCACTTAAAAAATTAAGTTCTACTTACCTCCATTCCCAGAAGTTTCAGAGCTTTAGGCTGCACAATGAAAGAGGAGGAAAGATCGGTTATTCAGACAACAGTCAGTATGTATGCTAGCAGTTAGTTGAAAATGCTTTGCCTTATTACTGATTAGTGACAGTAGCCAAGGAAAAGACATAAATGAATATGGAAATTGTTTCTGTCATCAGAAGTCAGTTGAGGAGAAAGACAAACACATACTTGCAATTGCAGGCAGGAGAACCAAAAATGTTCCCAGCCAAAGCTCCTAATGACCGCCATGGAGTCAAGGCTGATGGGAAAGCTCCATCATAGTTAGGACCTGTGTGTGTGTGAGTGAGTGTGTGTGCACATGCGCGCACATGCACATGCGCAAGGGTGTGGGGGGGGCAGAGCACATGTGCACATTCGTACACTAATACTAGGCTTGAAAACTCAGAGCCTCATGCACGCTCAACTTCCTTGCTAATGGCTGGTGCTCTATTACTTAAGCCACACCTCCAGTCTGGCATTTTGCCCAGTAATTGGAGACGGAACCTTATAGACTTTTCTGCCTGGCTTGGAACCTTCCTTCTCTAGATCTCAGCCTCCTGAGTAGTTAAGATGACAGGCATGAGCCACCAGTGCCCAGCTAAGGTAATAATACATTTGAACTGGGCTTTTGGTAAGGGAAGGATTCGGAAAACCCCACTGGAAGAAGGAGTCCTGGAGGGCATAGGAATACAATTGGGTTTTGGTGGAGGGGTGATGTATTGGACTGGGGTAGGGACAGTTGACAGAGAGCCTTAGATACTGTGATGATAATATGGGGTCACAATTCTTTAGGCAGTGGCGGGGGGTGGGGGAAAGGGGGTGTCCTGTTGTGTCCCGTGCTTTGGCAGATGATAGCAGTTGACGTGGTAGAGTGGTGCTCTGGATCTAAGGGCACCCCTTCGTCTAGGGGATATGGAGGATGAGTGTGCATGGAGCTAGGTATTGGGGCTGAGGAGGCCTTACAACAGGAAATCACCGAGGGAGTCAGGGCAGGGGTGCTTGGGGATGGGGCTTTAAACAGGCCAAGTTATAGGAAAGCATGACAGGGAACCACGTGGCACTCTGGGGAAGCACCCAACATTCCTTTCTCGCCCTCCCCCCACCACACATTGAGATCTACCCTCTTAGGCCCAAACAAGTTGTTGTAAAGAGTCCGAAAACTCTTCCGGGTGTAGTTGCAGCGGTAGGCTCCGCCCATGAGGTATTCCAGCACCAGCCCGATGTCAATGAGGCTGATGTGATAATCCGGGGGAAGGTTGCTCTGTAAGAAAAGAAGGTTAGGGTGGGGTCCTGTGAGGTGAACACATGTGACATCACACACGCACACGCACACACACACACACACACACACACACACACACACACACACACACCTGGGTAAAAGTCTTCATCTTACTTCATCCTACCCCCAACTTGGGAGCTCAGGGAATAGAACACGAATTAGACAATAGGTAGTATTTGCCTATAAGGGAGGGAGCTGATGGGTTGAACTACATTCCAGAAGTTGAGTTGAGTTTTTCTAAGGAGAAGAAAGAAAGCGGCATGGCTATAGGACGGATGGCCAAATAGGTTCCTGGCCTGACAGAGGGGGCTGTAGCTGACACGTGCAAATGTGAAGGAAACAGTGTGATGATACAGCTGTGGCCTAAAAGCCAATCGGCTTGGATGAAAAGATCCTTTGAACAGCAGGGAGAAGCCAGCCAGGGGCCAGATTTCATGCAGGATAAAGATGCCATATGAGGACATTGGGGGACAGCCATTTCCCTCCAGGAGAGAACAGGCCTGAAGAGAGGTACCCCATGAATTCACCATCACTCATTCCCATCCTGGACTAGCTGACGTACCCAAGGGGCCCAGCTGTGTATGAAGGCCATCTGAATGGCCACATTGTTAATCTCAAAGAGCCAAGATGACGGCTGTAGGCATCTTGGGATGCATTGCTGGGAAATTCGTTCCACATAGCCTCCATTCACAATGCCCGCGTGGATAAAACGCAGCACTCTCGCGTTGTGTGTTTGTGTGTCTCCTACCAAGATCCTTGGCTATGCTGGGGATGTCTTATTAGCAACAAGGAGATACTGCTCTGCTCTAAGAGACTGTCTTCACTCAACAGCCGGGTGCCAAGCATGTAGAATGCAAGAAGGAATTCTTGACTCTATCCAGGGCCATTGCGAGGGAGAGGAAGAGAGGGCTTTCAGGAGAAAGTGACACCTGTGGTTTATCCAATTGCAAGTGGCACAGGGCCAGAGGACGCAGAGGGCCGCCAGCATGCACAAGGTATGGCCTGGGAATCAGCAGGCAGCGGAATCTCCATGGGGATTTCAGTCGTATGGAAAAAGAGTAAGGCCGTAAATGTGAAGCAGGCCCAACCAGGCCCATATTTCTTGGAAGGACCTTTGGAAGACATTGGAAACTTTGTGTACGTGTGCCAGTCCTGGGGCTTGAACTCAGCACTTGGGCACTGTCTCTAAGCTTTTTTTTTTTTTGCACTCTAGTCTAGTGCTCTACCACTAGAGCCACAGCTCCACTGCCACTTTTTTTTTAAAATGATATGTCACAGGCTTTCCTGCATGGGCTGGCTTTGAACTGTCATCCTCAGATCTCAGCCTCCTGAGTAGCTAGGATGATAGATGTGAGCCACTGCCACTTGGCAACATGGGGACAGGGAATGGGGGAAGGGGTTTCTAGAGGACAGAGGGAGAAATCATTGAAGTCAGGTCAGGAAATGATTAGACCTGAACTAGGGTAAGTACTTCCTTACAAGGATGCATTTTCCCCATCTATCTTTCTATTGGGTCTGACCGAGGATGCCAGAACTTTTTTTTATGGTCGGTCATGGGGCTTGAACGCAGGGCCTAGGCACTGTCTCTGAGCTTTTCCACTCAAGGCTAGCACTGTACCACTTGGAGCCACAGCACCACTTCTGGTTTTCTGGTGAGTCATTGGAGATAAGAGTCTCCTGGACTTTCCTGCCCGGGCTGGCTTAGAATTACGATCCTTAGATCTTAGCTTCCTGAATAGCTAGGATGACAGGTGTGAGCCACCAGTGCCTGATGGATATTAGAATATTTACGTGGAAAATAACCACACCCCTTGGGAGGTCTAAGAAGTCCCTCTTGATTTCCAGATCCATCTATCTGGTTCTTTTCTATTAGTGTCTACAGAAGCATATTTTCCTATTAAGAGGATTTAATATTTGTGTGAAGTATACCCAGGCTACCTAGGATTCTGAGACAGACAGAGATGGGAGGGGGAGAAAGAGACAAACAGAGATAGAGGAAAGAGAAAAGAGAGAGGAAGGAGACAGAGACAGACAAGGAGACAGAAAGACAGAGAGCTAGAGATAAAGAGACAGAGGGAGCCTTATTCCCTCCTTTGAGCTCAGAGTATAAGCTTACATTTTACACTCTGTATGCCCGGGACTAGCAAATGAATCACTCATGGGGGGAGCCCAGCCGAATCCTCTAACTTGTGGGGACAGTGAGTGAGTGCTGGGTCAGGACGCTGACTGAGTGAGACCCTTCAGGAATACAGACTATGGTTGTGGGTAGCAGGAGAAAGGGAGGAGAGGACATGTCCCTTAATGGTGAGGGGACCCAGAGCTGTGAGATTTTCTGGGAGCCACACCAAGTGAACTGAAGCTCCTCCTGCTTAGTAACATTCTAGAAGGAGTCTGTGATGAGTCAGAGGTGTGAAAGTAGATGTAGAAAACAAGGCTACCCTGGCTGCTGCTCAGCCCTAATCAAGTCATTCGGTGTGTTTCCATGGTGTAAGGATGCATGTAAAACCTAAGAAGGATAATGTCATTTCAGGGACTTTTTTTAAACTTTATTTATTTTGTTGTTTATTTATTTCTCACCATGTGATTCAAGCTGACCCCAAACTTGGGATCCTCCTATTTCACTCTTCTGAGTGCTGAGATTACAAATGTGCACCATCAAACTTGGCTCTTTCCAAGTTTAACTTTTTGTTAATGAAAAAAAGGGGGGAGGCTCTAATAATAAGAAGATAACACGTTTAAGAAAGCAATCAAAGCTGGGAACTGGTGGCTCATGCCTGTAATCCTAGCTAATCAGGAGGCTGAGATCTGAGGATCATGGTTCAAAGCCAGCCTAGGCAGGAAAGTCTAGGAGACTTTTACCTATAGTGAACCACCAGAAAACCAGAAGTGGCACTGTGGCTCAAAGCAGTAGAGAGCTAGTCTTGAGCAAGTGCAGGGGCAGTGCCCAGGCCCTAAGTTCAAGCCCTATGACCAACAACAGCAACAAAAGTAATCATTGCTTTTGTTGTTATTGTTGTTGTGGGGCTTAAACTCTGGGTCTGGGCGCTGTCCCTCAGCTCTTCAGCTTAAGGCTAGTCTCTACTACTTGAGCCACAGTGCCACTTCCGGCTTTTTCTGTTTATGTGGTACTGAGGAATTGAACCCAGGGCCTCAAGCATGCGAGGCAAGCATTCTACCACTGAGCCACCTTCCCAGCCTTAATCATTACCTTTTAAGAAATGTTTAGTAAAAGATGTCAATAGTAAGGATTTTAAAACTGTGGATGGACTGACCTTTTTTACATCCCTCACCAGCAGATGAAGTGTGTTTGGTGGGCCCAGCCTCTGAAAGAGAAGCAATTGGCTATATGAAGTTAAGTTTTCCTCTTCAACTCCTGGGACAAAATTCTTCCCTCTTTTGTAGAATTAATGATTTATACAAGTGGGGCATAATCCCTTATTGACCTGTTTTCCATTTTTAAGACAAAACTGGTTGGGGTAAGGAAGTATCGATTGTGAGCAAATATATGTGAACAACTATTTTTCTTGAATTATTTTGAAATATTTACATAAGTTAGTGATTGCCGTTTCTGTCATTGAAAAATCTCAGGAGGGTGAAGGGATACATAATATGTATCCAAGTACATATTATGATAATATAACCAATGGAGATTTCATTCAAATCACTTCCATCCTAAAATAGCAGAGATCCTTGTTGTGATGTATATAATTTTTTTTGTGGGAGGTGTGTGTCAGTACATAGGACTTGAACTCAGGGCCTGGGTGCTGTCCCTTAGCTTTTTCACTTAAAGTTAGTGCTCTACCACTTGAGCTACAGGTCTACTTCTGGTTTTTTTGGTGCTTCATTGGAAATAAGAGTCTCCTAGACTTTCTTGCGTGGGCTGGCTTCAAACAAGATCCTCAGTTCTTAAGGCCTCCTGAGTAGCTAGAATGACATGCATGAGCCACTGGTACCTGGATGAGATCTGTGTTTTTCACTGAAGCCTCATAAAAACATGATGATCGCAAAGAAAATCAACTGATCATCTAGTAACTTTGTAGTCTGCTAACAATTCAGTGAGAGTCTCTCACTTCCCAAGTGTAGCTGTTACTCTGGAAAGTCTCTGAAGGTGGTTCGACTTTGGATTTTTAGGTTTTATGATGGTGCAAAAGCAATTTGTACATTTAAAAGAAACTACACTTTTTTTTAACCTTTTCCTTTGGCTAATGATAGTCTGCCCAACCTCCTCTCTGTGCTGGGCAGAGACTACAACCTGCAACTCCTAGACCAGCCCCATAATTGCAGGTGGAACACTGTATAGCATTACGTTGCTAAACTATGGTATTCGGTAGCTTAGATGTGAATGCATTCTTGACTTGACGATACCTTTGACTTACAATGGGATTAATCAGGGTATAAGCCTGTGGCAGAAGGTACTGCCTGGCAAGGCATGGCAGAACTTGATGGGAACATAGCTATGCCAAACCACCAGGGAGACATGGCAACCTGCTCTTATTCAGCATGAACCTCTGGGCTGAAACCTTGTCCCCCTGATGCCATAGTTTTGCTCAATGGGCAACAAGGATAAAGGATTCCGAGGGCTAGCTCTTCTCACTCTCCCTCCTTGGGACACTCACTGTGTTATACAGTTCCTCCAGCCTGGGAATGGTGAGGAAATGCTGCATGTTCACTCCATTTTCAATCAGGAGCTTCACAAAGTCAACTCGATCTAAGACTAGAGCATCCAGCATGGCTTGCTCCAAAGCATTCACCTGTATTACGGAAATACCAGTCAGGAGGTGGACTGGAAAGAACACAGAGAGGGTATTCTGAGCCCCCCACCCCACAGAGGAGCCTGGACTGTTTTGAATATGGTTCTCTATGCTTTTATATTCCCCAGTGGTGGAATCTAACCTGGGGCTCTACCTTTGAGTTCACCCTCAGACCATGGGTCTCTGATGTTTTGCATCTGTAAACACACCTCATCTCTTTTGTCCTTTCTTCTCAGCTTGGAACTGCTTAGTTCTAGCAAATCTTGTACAAGATTGTATATGCGTGCATACACACGTGCACGTGTATACACGCCAGTTCTGGGTTTAGAACTCAGGGCTTGGACACTATTCCTTAGCTGGTTCTCTACCATTTGAGACACACCTCTACTTCTGACTTCTTGCTTGTGAACTGGGGATAAGAGTTTCATGAATTTCCCTGCCCAGGCTGACTCTGAATTGTGAGCTTCAGATCTCAGCCTCCTGAGTAGCTACGATTATAGGCGTGCGCCATTGGGCCCAGCTGGATTCTTTCCTTCTAAAAATAAGTTGAGCTAGGTGCTGGTGGTTCACTCCTGTAATCCTAGCTACTCAGAAGGCTAAGATCTGAGATTGAAGTTTGAAGCGAACCCAGGCAGACATGAGACTCTTATCTCCAACTAACCACCAAAAAGCTGGAAGTAGAGCTGCAGCTCAAGTAAAGTTGCCAGCCTTGAGCAAAAAAGCTAAAGAACAGTGCCCAGGCCCTGAGTTGAAGTCCTAATACTAGCACAAAACAACAACAACAACAATAACAACAACAAAAGAACTATCTCTTCCTTTAGGAAGAGATGTGATGCAAACTCTGGTTTCCCTGGTCCCAAGAACCAGATGAGGAAGTTTCCCACGTACCCAGTTCAGCAGCTCTATCTTCCGGGGGTCCGTTTCTTCCTCTACTTCCTCCTTCACTTTCCCTTTCTTCTTGCCTTTTCCTTTTCCTCTCCCCTTGGTGGTGGCTGTGGGTGGCTTCTTTTCCCTCTCTGTAGCTTTGCTATCCACTGGAGGGGCCAGGCTACCGAGAGGCTGCAATTCATAACAGGCAGAGTTAGCAAAGGGTAGTAAGACTACCCCTGGCCCAAGACAAGTATATTGACCCTCCATTTCTGTTTCTACATATACCTAGTGCATACACAAGCATATACACATGCACACATATACATATACACAGCAAGCATATACTCACGAGCATGGGTGTGAGTATACATATAATATATATACATATACACACACACACACACACACACACACACACATATACATACATACAAAACACTAATGCTAACCAGTGCCTCATGCCTAGAATCCTAGCCACTCAAGATGCTGAAATCTGAGGACTGAGGTTCAAAGCCAGCCTAGGCAGGAAAGACTATGAAACTCTTATCTGCACTAAACTACCAAAAGGAAAGGAAAATTAGAAAAGCCAGAAGTGGAGCAGTAACTCACATGCTAGAGCTCTATCCTTGAACAAAAGAAGCTCAAGGACAGAACCCAAGCCCTGAGTTCAAACTCCAGGCAATAATCAAATCACTGGTGCACAAATGCAATGTCATACACACCACACACACACACACACACACACACACACACACACACACACACACACACACACACAGAGTCATACATACACAACACAAACACACAGTTATACACAAACACCAACTCATTGCAGTCTGGGCTACCTGTGAAGGCTCTTTGCTCGTGGATATTATATATCTTATGTCATATCTTATATATTATGCACAAATATATACTAAGCTTGAATTAATAGCTTTGTGTATTCAAAGTGGCTGGCCTTCTGATTGATGTGCATGTCTGCATAAAGGAAAGGGTGCTGAGCTAAGTGCAAAGGCACCAAGTAAATGTGCCCACAGGCATGGAATGATGGTACATGATTGCGAGGGCGTCAGAGACAGAAGACATCGCCTTGGATGCTGTCTGGATCCAATGGATGAACTTATTGCTGGGTAGGTGATCTCTGAGGGGTGTCATGGCATTGAATATGACATGGTGATTAACTGGAGACATCAGGTTGGCATGGGCTCTCTCTGAGGAAACAGGAGGGGGAGTAGAAGTACGACTATCTCCTGGATCTGGTGATGCAGCCAGAGGCCCTCCACAGAGCTGGGGCCATGTGGTTTGGACGTTTTAGTCTCCAGAACTGGTGATCTAAACACACCTTTCTATTATAACACACTCAGATTCAGGTATTTTGTCAGAACAACATAAACCAGGGGGGGCTGTCCCTCCTTCCCTCTTGCTTTCTTTTTTTCTTTTTTGTTGGTTGTGGGGTTTGAACTCAAGGCCTAGGCACTGTCCCTGAGCTTTTTTGCTCAAAGTGAGCCCTCTGACATGTTGAGCCACAGCGCCACTTCCGGTTTTCTGGTGGTTCATTGGAGATAAGAGTCTCATGGACTTTCCTGCCTGGCCTGGCTTTGAACTATAATCCTCAGATTTCACCCTCCTGAGTAGCTAGGATTACAGGAGTTGCTTCTCAACATCAAGACTCTTCTAGACGCTACTTTTAACCTTCTTCCTTTCCCCTTTACTCTCATCGATCTTATTGATGCCTACACCACATCCACCAAATCACCATTATCGTCCAACAGCTTCTTTCTAGCTATAGCTCACCGCTCTCCCTCTGTGAACTCCCAGCATTTCCACGTGCATGATTTAGTGATTCAGTAAGCCTGTATTAGTCTGAAATACCTGAATCTGGGCATGTTATAATAAAAACATAGTTTAGATTACAGTTTCGGAGACTGACAAGTCTAAACCCACAGGGCCCCAGCTCTGTGGGAGGCCCCTGGCTGTGAGAGGAAGCAATCACCCAGTGAGACAGGAGGCCAGAGACTGGAGTGGGAACTCTTGTCCTTTCCACCCTCCCCCTTTTGGTTGTGGGGCTTGAACTCAGGGCCTAGCTGCTGTCCCTGAGCTCTTTTTGCTCAGGGCTAGTGCTCTACCACTTTGATCCACAGCACCTCCACTTCCGGTTTTTGAGTGGTTCATTGGAGATAAGAGTCTCACAGGGTTTCCTGCCTGGGCTGGCTTCAAACTGCAATCCTCAGATCTCAGCCTCCTGAGTTGCTAGGATGACAGGCGTGAGCCTGTTAAGCAACGATGTCTTTTAATAATCTTAACGGTTCACCCAAGCAACGCACAGAAGCCACAGAGATGGTTTCCTGAGATCTGTGTCACAAGGGAGGACATAGTAAAGCCTCATCGGTATACCAGGTCATGACAAATGATATGAATTGGAAAACAAACAGAAAACAAGAAAACATCTCATCTCACCGGCCAATGGGGCCCGAAGACGAAGATCTGGCTTCGTGCTATGTCCACTCGGTTCCAAGCTAGAGCCAAGCTCAGCTGGTCTGGAGCAGAAGCATTGGTTCCTGGAAAGACAAGACATGAGAGCCATTTTTTTTTTCACTTCCTACCTTGGATCACCCTGCTTTGTCATTATCTGAGCATCCATCGCTGCCTCTCCTCTTGTCCCTGAACTAATGGGCCCTGAAACAAGGAGAACAACTCCATAGTTTCCAGAACTTTCTGGAAGGAAGGCAGATGAAAACTCTCACCCGGCCAGTTCTTTGCAGGCTCTTTGGGAAGGGTGAAGGAGGAGCCCATTGGCTCAAGACCTTCAAGGGGGCAGGAGCCTGGGAATGGATGCCAGGCTGGGCCAAGAATGACCAACCCCCAGCCCTGCCAGGCAGCCAGGCCGCAGAGCCCCCTGCCTCTCTCCTCTGTACCTCCTTGTGGCCCCAGTCCACATGAATCAGGGAGGAAATGTGCTCCCCAAAGTGGACCCTACCCTGTGAGCCCCTGGTTGAAGCCTGTCGTTAACAGGATAATTGGACAGGACTCTGTGAACCACAAATGAGAACATGTTTTTAGTCAGGTACCGGGGGCTCCTAGCTACTCAGGAGGCTGAGATCTGAGGATCACAGTTCAAAGCCAGCCTAGGTAGGAGAGTCCATGAGACTCTTATTTCCAACAAACCACCAGAAAATCAGAAGTAGTGCTGTGGCTCAAGTGGTAGAACACTTGCCTTGAGCTAAAGAACTCAAGGACAGCACCCAGGCCCAGAGTTCAAGACCCATGCTGACAATAACGAAAACAAAAAAACAAAACAAAATATATTTTAGCTGGGTACTGGCTCACCCAGTAATCCTAGCTACTCAGGAGACTGAGATTGGAAGATCATGATTCAAAGCCAGCCCAGGGCAGAAAAGTCCATGAGACTCTTATCTCAAAGGAACTACCAAATAGTCGGAAGTAGAGCTTTGGCTCCAGTGGTAGAAGGCTAGCCTGGAGCGAAAAGAAGCTCAAGGATAGCACCAAGGCCCCGAGTTCAAGTCCCAGGGCTGGCACACATAGAAAAAAAAAAAGTTTTGTATCTCCTGAGCAAAAGTTCTCAGTCCTTCAAAGAACCTATAGAAACCAGCTTTGTAGAAACCAGCTCCGAGTCTTGTCATTCCATCCCCCAGCCATGCCAAGGACACCGCAGGCAGCCGGCAGGCTCTGTCCCCAATAGGACATAGGTCATAGGCAAAGCCCAGCCCAGCCGAGCGCTGAAGGACAGGAGTAGCGTTCCCAAGAGCTCACCTTTCAGGAGGGCGGTTAGAATGGCCATCTCGACATCCTGCTGCCCCTCAGAACCCATTCTAAACACGGTGACCTGGAACAAGTGAACCCAAAACAGACTGAATTGAGGTTGAGGTTGAGAATAAGAGTGAATTGAGGTGTTTAAAAAAAAGCAATCACAAAGCTGAAGGTATGTGGTGGTGGGTACAAGGCTGTGAGATCATGAGATCAAACCCCAGTACTGCCAGTAAAACAAGATGCTTCATGCCTGTCATCCTAGCTACTTAAGAAGCTGAGATCTGAGGATCACAGTTCAAAGCCAGCCTGGGCAGGAAAGTCTGTGAGACTCTTATCTCCACCTAAAAAGCCAGAAGTGGAGCTGTGGGTCAGGTAGTAGAGTGCTAGCATTGAAGGGGGGAGTGTGAGGTTCTGAGTTCAAGTCTCAGTACTGGCACAAAACAGCTAACAAAAAAACCTAAAACAAAACAAAAACCACTCACAAATGATTTTCAGAACTAAGCAATTTTAAACCATGTGTTTTCTATCTCCAGGAAAAACAATCCAAAGAGCCATCTGAAACCATAAAATTCTGGGATTGGAGGCGTGGTTCAGTTGGTAGAGCACTAGCCGATGAGCAAAAACATCAAGTACTGAGTTTGAATCCCGGTCATTGACCAGAAAAGAAAAGAAAAATTGAAATGATAAAATCCTATCTAATCAGATACGATGCGCTTAGAGGAAATTCGCAGATTGCGAATTTTGAAAATATCACCCTTATCTGCATCGTAAGTTCTGATTCCTTGTAAACACAGCTAGGGAAGGAAGAGTTAGTCAGAGAATGGAACTTGGGAGGTGAAATTCTTCTGACTTTGCAAGCACCTCTTGCAAGGGATGCTAAGTCTCTCCCCCCAGTCTTTCGATCTGATCCGATTCCTATTGTAAACCTCTCCGTTTGTACCGCGACGTGGTATGACCTGACCTCCTATTTGCACACTTCACTGAGCTACTGGGGGAGCCCTCCCCTCTTGTCTGCCAGTTTGGTGTGCATTTGTAAATTGTCTCTTGGAAAACAACAACAACAACAACAACAAAAGTCTCTCCAGAGCGTGTTTGAAAATAAATTCAAGACACTTAACAAGTTCTTTCTTCTTCATGCACTCCATGATGATTGCAAACAGCTGATGGGACTGGCTCTTGCTATAATTAAATGTTTTCTGAATGGTAACGAGAAGCTGATCCCTGAGGGATTCGTTTATGCCCCTGTTCAAAGGAGACGAAGGAGAACAAAACACAGATGAAAAAGAACAAAACATAGCATGTCGACCCTGCTCACTGGACCACCCCACCAGGCTCTCCCCACAACCAGGTGCCCTCTTTTTGGTTGGTTGTGGGGCTTGAACTCAGGGCCTGGGTACCATCCCTGAGCTCTTTCTCTCAAGGCTAGCGCTCTACCACTTTGAGCCACAGCACCACTTCTGGTTTTCTGGTGATTTCCTGGTTTTCTGGCTTCGAATCACACTGCTCAGATCTCAGTCTCCTAAGTAGCTAGGATTATAGGTGTGAGCCACCCGCGCCCAGTAGTATCTTTTATTTGGAACTTTGTTATTGGAAGGTATCTCTGCATAAAAGTTTTTTTTTAATGAAAAAAAATGCTAGGATTTAAAAAAAAAAATAGTTGTCACTGTGTTAGCCAGGTGCCAAGGGCTCATGCCTATAATCCTAGGTACACAGGATAATACTGAGATGTAAGGATGGTGGATTGAAGCCAGCCTGGCAGGAAAGTCTGTGAGGCTCTTATCTCCAATTAACCAGAAAAATCCTGAGCTGGGGCTGTGGTACCAGTGGTAAAAAGCCTTGTGCAAAAAAAGGCAAGGGCCAGCCAGAGGCCCTGAGTTAAAGCCCCAATACACACACACACACACACACACACACACACACACACACACGGGTCTAGGAATGTCTAAGAAGGCCACTTCAGAAGTTCTCCGTGGCCTAACACGGTGGCATTGAGCTTCCACCCTCTGTCCCGTGGCCCCGCCTACCCTCCTTCTTCACAGTATTTGTGTGCGAAGGACAAAATGTCTGCAGCTCGCCCGCTGCCATCACAAACCACCACTGGGATGGGAGGATCTTCCCGAAGGTATTCCAAGACCACGGAAACCACATTCGGGCCCCCTTCCACCACGAGGCCCACAACCGGCACTCCCTGGCCCAGTCCTGCAACGCAAACCACAGTCAAGAGTTTGGATCAATGTACAGTGCCCTTCTCCTAGCTCGTCCATTTGGTATGTGTGAGCCAGTTCAAAAGCTAGAACCTGGACACTATCCCTTAGCTTTTTTCGGCTCATGGTGCTCTACCCCTTGAGCCACACCCTTACTTGTGGCTTTTGGCTGGTTCATTGGAGATAAGAGTCTCATGGATTTTCCTACCCAGGCTGGCTTGGAACTGCAATCCTCAGATCTCAGCCTTTTGTGTAGCAAGAATTTTTAATAGCCAATGCCCAATATCCTTTGAGTCATCTTGACGTGGCTTAAAATAAGTAATATGGTATAAATATACAATATACTATACAAAAAGTTCTTCTACTGTGCTGTTTAAGGAACCATGACTAGAGAAAACCCTTCCATGTATATTCAGTGAAGAATATCTTCTCCCAGAGACTTTTCCATCAGTAGTTGGTCCAATCTCTGAGGCAGAGCCTGTGGCTACAGGGGGCTGGCCATCTTGTCTCACCATTACTTGTAAGAGGAAATAATGGATCACTATGAACAAATGACAAATGCGAGCTTCACAGTTCTTAAGAGTTTCAGATAAAATCTGCCAGCCCAGATTGTGAGAAGACTCGAGAATTTCAAGTGGGTGGGTTCCGTTCCCACAATGCACTTCTACTGTCAGGAATGTTGAACTATTTCAAATGACCTGGAATAATTATAGGTAAGGTCATTTTAGCAAAGTAAGTATTAAAGATTTGTTTTGAGCCAAGGCCTCAGAAAGAGATACTGGAAAATATATCAGGATGACATAAAGTCTGCCATTGAGATCTCCAACTTAAGCAACCTTGGGACTTTGTTTATTTTTATTACAAATCAAGAAATTATAGTGCTTTTTAAGTTGGGGGGGGTGGTAAAAAGCGATGTGAACATTTATAAACAATGTGAGATAATTATATCAGGATAATTATTAACATAGCCGTCACCTCCAATTCTTATACATTTTTGTGGTGAGCACACTGGAAATTGATTCTCAGTGATTTTGGACTGCATAATTATTCATGATTATAATTAATTGTATTCACCTCCAATGTACTACTTCTGTCTGGCTGGAGCTTTGTATTTTAATACATCTTGACCAGTGTCACCCTTCCATACCCTTGGGATTTTAGGCCATCTGGAAGATGGTGGCCAAATGATCTTTGTTTTGAGAAACAGAACAGAGCCGGCTCTTCTTGCCTCTGTGTGGTGGGAGGTGACACCTGGGCACCCCTTTGCTGTCCCTGCCCTGCTCAGAACCCTAGGCAAAGGATGACAAAGGGAAGCCCACAAGTCACGTGACTGGGTGGAGCAGGGGTGATATGGAAACTTACAAATCCCAGCAAGTCACAACTGGATCAGATGCTTAGGAATCCACAACTTTTTTTTTTTTGGTAGTATGCACAGAGCACCTGAGCAATAGCCACCTACCCTTAACTTCGGTTTTATAATCACCATCTTCCCAAGCCTACCATTATCTCGAGCAATTTTTTTTCCTACCAATTTACTAGCAAGAGCAACATGTTCTTCAAGATCCTTCAATAATTGTTTGATACGCAAGGTGCCCATTGTCTCATGCTTGTCATCCTAGCTACTCAGGAGGCTGAGATCTGAGGATCGCAGTTCAAAGCCAGCTTGGGAAGGAAAGTCTGTGAGCCTCTCATCTCCAATTACGCAGTGAATGATCATATAATGTCTAATAGAAAGACTCGTACTATGAATTCACTCTTCCTCCCCTGTTAAAACATTTCAAATATACCCATGGCAATTACAAGGGGGAAAAAAAAAAACAACCCAGGGCAGGTAATGGGATGTGTAGAACCATTACCATGACAACCACTACCAAGTTGTTTCTTGCACCACCTCGTGGATTTGGACAAAGCAGGACTTGGCCACGCCATGTATACAATTAGGCAGATGGCTGAGACGAAAAGGTCTCGGTAGGTCATTTTCTGTTGATCTAGCAAGAAGCCAGGTGAAAGATTTCAGCACCAGAGCTGGGCAACTTCCTCCTGAGCCCGTGCTCTCCTGGTGAGCTCTGGCGCCCAGGGGCAGCGCCCTGCGCCTCTCAGCACTTACTCGTGTTGATCTTCTGCAGAGAGATGTGCTTTTCCAGCTGCCGGCGCAGCTTCACCTCCGCCCCGTACTTGCCCAGCGTGCCGTTGTCAGCCAGGATGAAGTGCGTGTGAGAGTTGTTGAGTACAGAGAGCTTACTCAGGGGGTTGGACATAGTCTGGTACACTCGCGTGACCTGACAAAATGCACAACGCAAATCAGAGCTGCGGGACGGAAGCTAGCAAGATGAACTGCGGGAGGACATGGAACGTATTTGCACATAATAGCTGCACTGCACCTGCTCTCATATCTCTGGCCCCCTTCCCCCTCACTACAGTAAGATAGAAGAAAAATCACTATTTTACATGGCGAATGTCCAGTAATTCTATTTATCTCTATGATCTGTGTCACAGGGGAAAAAAATGAAAATGTACACGAACATGAAATCCATGAATGCAAAACTGCTCTATAATAACAGAGCAATTATTAACAACCCAGATATCCTTCAACAGATAAATGGGTTAAATCACCTCTGGTATATCCAGTCCATAGAATACCACTCAGCCATGAGAAAAGAAGGACCCAAGAATATGCCTGACAATCTGGATAAGAGTGTTAAAGGAGAGTGTATAAAAATCCATCCCTCCAGAGTTACATACTGTGTGGTCCCATTCTGGAACATTCTTGAAGTGAGAATATCATAAAGATGTGTAGCCCCTTCGTGGTTATCAGGGATGAAGGGGGAAGTGGAGGCAGGAGGGAATTAAGTATAGATATCAAAGGGCAATAGGAGGGATGGGACTTGGATTTTTTTTTTTTAATCTTGACTGTATCATGTTACCATCTGGGTAATAATCATCTGTTCTAGTTTTGCAAGCTAGTACCCGCTAAAGGAATGAGTGGAAGATTGTTATTTCTTTTTTTGTTCTCTTTTCGTTTTTGTTGGTCATAGGTCTTGAACTCACAGCCTGGGCACTGCCCCTGAGCTCTTTCACTCAAGGCTAGTGCTCGACCACTTTGAGCCACCATGCCCCTTCTGGTTTTCCAGTGGTCCATTGGCGATCAGAGTCTCACAGACTTTCCTGCCCTGGCTGACTTTGAACTACAGTCCTCTGATCTCAGCCTCCTAAGTAACTGGGATCACTGGCTTGTGCCACCAACACCGGGCAGCTTGTTATTTCTTATAACTCCTTGTGAATCTGTAATGATCTCCAAGGACAGACATCACATGTTAAAACTCATCATCCAAAGGAAATACTTACATCCCTTCCAATCAGGTCTTCCTTGTTCTCCACCATACCCCACGGAGCAATCCCTATAGCACAGACCCGCCCTCTGGACTTGGAGGAGTGGTCTTTCAAGGCATCTCCCACGTGGCTGATGACACCTGTGAGTAGCAGTAAGTCAGAAGCCGAAAGCCCTTTGAATTGCCATCAACTCCCTCTCGATACCACCAGGTACACCTTTTCTGAGTCCTCACCCACCCTGTCCCCATTCTCTAGGGCATAGGAATAGAATATGCTCCTCTTTATGAATATCTGAGCTCATCATAATTATGAACCCTGATTTAACTCCTGGACTAGACGAAACAAAACAAAACAAGAACACCCCAAAAAGACCCTGGGCAAGATTCACTTCCTATGGCCCAAAGACAGAAGGCCCAAGGATCTCTCCGGAAGGCCTTGGTGACACTCAGCTAAAAGTGAGAGCCGGATCACCTGGCCTTGTTCTCTAGCCTCTCTGTGCCTCAGTTTATCTTCCCTTGAAATGGAGGAAAGAAGTCATTGTATTGTCAAAGCTCATAGACTTCACAAACTTTATAGACCATGGTAATGACAGTTTGCCTTGTGAAGGTTAAAAAAAAAATGGAGGAAAGATGGTCAATGGATTCGGTGAGGAGGACGCTCATCCAGCATTCAGCCGCGGGAACGGTCCACAGTGGAGATCCGGAGATGTCCATTACCGTCATGATCATTGCCGCTGTGATTCGGATCCTGAGCATCTCCCACAGGCCTAGTGTTTGAAGCCTGGTCCCCAGCGTGGCGCTACTACTGGGAAGTGGACTTGGTGAATAAGCTGTGGCTCACTGGGGTATACAATTGAAGAGGATTGCCTCCAATCCTCCAGCGTCTTCTCTTTTTCTGTGCCTGGCCATGGGGTTTTTTCTCTGCTCCAGTACTCTTGCCAGACAGACCCAAAGCAACGGGGCCAATCAATCATAGACTAAACACCATCTACAACTACGAAGCAAAATAAACCTTTCTGATTTGTTGAAGTTGATGGTTCCAGGTGTTTTGTTGCCGTAATAGAAGGCAATGAACAGTTATTATACTTGCTATCATAACTCACTGGATTAAAAAAAAAAAAAACTCACTCAGGAGGCTGAGATCTAAGGATCATGATTCAAAACCAGCCCTGGCTGGAATGTTTATAAGTCTCTTTATCTCCAATTAACCACTAAAAAGCCAGAAGTGGAGCTATGGCTCACGTGGTAGAGCCTTAGCCTTGTTTAAAAAAACTAAAGGAAAGCCGGGCGCGGTGGCTCACGCCTGTAATCCTAGCTACTCAGGAGGCTGAGATCTGAGGATCGCGGTTCAAAGCCAGCCCGGGCAGGAGAGACCGTGAGACTCCTATCTCCAATAAACCACCAGAAAACCGGAAGTGGTGCTGTAGCTCAAGTGGTAGAGCGCTGGCCTTGAGCTGAAGAGCTGAGGGACATCGCCCAGGCCCAGAGTTCAAGCCCCACGACCGACAAAAAAAAAAAACAAAACTAAAGGACAAGCTAGGCACCAGTGTCTCACACCTGTAATCCTAGCTACTCAGGAGGCTGAGATCTGAGGATCATGGTTCAAAGCCAGCCCAGGCAGGAAAGTCTGTGAAACCAGAAGTGGCACTGTGGCTTAAGTGGTAGAGCGCTCGCCTTGAGCTGAAAAGCACAAGGACAGTGCCCAAACCCAGAGTTCAAGCCCTACGACCAACAACAACAACAAAAACAAAGGACAGTACTCAGGCCCTGAGTTCAAGCCCTGGTACTGCCTCCTCTCCCCACCCCTACCCCCCCCCCCACCCCCCGACTCAATAAAACTTAGCCAGGCACTGGTGGTTCATGCCTGTAATCCTAGCTACTCGGTAGGTATGAGGATTGTAGTTCAAAGCCAGCCTGAACAGGAAAGTCCATGAGACTCTTTATCTCCAATTTTCTGCAAGAAAACCAGAAATGGCACTGTGGCTCAAGTGGTAGAACTCTATCCTTGAGCAAAAAAAAGAGCTCAGGGACAGCACCCATGCCCTGAGTTCAAGCCCCATGACTGACAAAGAAAATCTCCCACTGGATACAGATTTCACTGCTGTCACAACTATGATCAGGATACAATCTGTTGTGTCTTTTGACCATTATTACTAGGAAGCTCTCTGGGGACCACAGCAGGTGGTGGGTGAGGAAAGGGGTCTGCTCTTACCAGTGCTGACGCCACCCGTGAAGATCCAGGCCCCCGTGGTCATCGCGGCCTTGATCAGGCCTTTGCCAAACACCTGCTTCAGCTTGGGCTGCATCTCGAAGTTCTGCAGCCCTCCATGCACAGATATTAAGAGCTTGGGGAGTTCCAGCTGCCAGTCCTTCACCATGAGATGAAGCAGGAAATCCGGCTTGGTGTCGTAGGACACGCGAATGTACTGCAAAAGAATGCATGATCACCACAGCCAAGGCAGGGAGTCAGCCCAGATGCCCCCCCGTGGACGGATGGATCAAGAAAACATGGTATGTGTACGCAATGGAATTTTACACATCCATTAGAAAGAAAGATATAGTATCATTTGTAAAGGAATAGAAAGACCTGGGGAAAAAATGGTGTTGTGTGAGGTAAGTCCACCCCAGCGGGACAAGGCTACATGGTTTCCCTTATATGTAGAAGCTAGTTTTAACTTTGTCTAAGTAAACACGGCCAGTGGTATGCAAGTGTATACAAATGTATTAGCTGAAATTCAATAGATGCAAGGGAGAACTCAAATAGTGCAATTCCTCAGAAAGGCAAAGTCAAAGTTCAGCAAAATAAAACACCAGGAAGTGGGTACTCAAAAGGGGTGCGGTGGGGTCAAAGGGAAAGGGGTGAATAAAGAAGAGGGAGGGAAATGCAGTCAAGATTCCAATGTGATGCCGGGCGCCGGTGGCTCACGCCTGTCATCCTCTCTACTCAGGAGGCTGAGATCTAAGGATCACAGTTCAAAGCCAGCCCAGGTAGGAAACTCCATGAGACTCTTATGTCCAATAAACCATCAGAAAATGAGAAGTGGTGCTGTGGCTCAAGTGGTAGAGCACTAGCCTTGAGCTGAAGAGCTGAGGGACAGCGAGCAAGCCCCAAGTTCAAGCTTTATGACTGACTAAAAACAAACAAACAAAATCCAGTGTGGGGCTGGGAATGTGTGTCTTAGTGGTAGACTGCTTGCCTAGCACGTATGAAGTCCTGGGTTCAATTCCTCTGTACCACACACACACAGGAAAGGCCAAAAGTAGCGCTGTGGCTCAAGCGGTAGAGTACTAGCCGTGAGCAGAAGAAGCTCAGAGACAGTGCCCAGGCCCTGAATTCAAGCCTCAGTACTGGCAAAATAAGTGCATAAATAATCCAACATTTAGCCTACAAAATGAAGACAAGGGGAAAAGTGTGTAGGAGGGGATTGGTGGGTGAGAATGTTGAAAGGGGTGACTTTGATCAAGATATATTCTATTCAGAAACTGCTTCGTTAAATGGCAACCCCTTTGTACAATTACTTAAAGAATGAGTGGTACAACGGAATATATTTGGAAGCTTGGGCCAGAACAGGATTGAAGAGACACTGCATCTTCTTCAAAATAATATCCAGTTTCCAAGTCTGATGGTGAAAAAAACAACAACACAAAAATAAAAACCCAAGCATTGATTCATTTCCTGGCTCTGCAGTGAAATGTCTAGAACAATGGAACCCTCACCATGGGGAAGACCCAGGCATGGGAAGCCTGTGGGTTGACAAATCAGCTCCAAGAACAGCTAGCTGTGTTCCCCGAGGACTACTCCCTCTTTCCATGGCACTGGGTGGAAGTGCCCTCTTACCATGGCTTTATTGACGTATCCACCACCCTGGAATTCAAGAATCCCATAGGAATCCGTTGGGTAGCTCTGCGTGTGTTTGCCAACGGACCATTTTTCAGGCTGAACTTCCACCTGTTTGTTTTTCTCCCCATTCTTGCTGGGAGTTGCGCTGGGCAGAGGGGGAATGTGCTGGTTGGTGAACTGGCCACAGCAACACCTGGAAAGGAACACAAAGTAGCTAGGAATCAGTGCCTCACGCCTGTAATCCTGTCTACTCAGGAGGCTGAGATCTGAGGAGTGCAGTTTGAAGCCAACCTAGGTAAGAAACCTTGCATGAGACTCTTATCTCCAATTAACTACCCCCCCCCCCCCAACACACACACAAAGCCAGAAGTGGAGCTATGACTCCAGTGGTAGACCACTAGTTTCGAGCACGAAATCTCAAGGACGGTACCCAAGCCTTGAGTTCAAGCCCCAGAACTGGCGCATGCGTACACACACACACACACACACACACACACACACACACACACACACACATGCACGCACACACACATACACACACACACACACACACATAAAGCTGAGCCGGGCGCTGGTGGGTCATGCCTGTAATCTTAGCTACTCAGGAGGCTGATATCGGAGGATTGTGGTTCAAAGCCAGCCCTGGCAGGAACGTCTGAGCGACTCTTATCTCCAGTTAACCACCAGAAAACCAGAAGTGGCGCTGTGGCTCAAGTGGTAGAACACTAGCCTTGAGCTGAGGAGCTCAAGGACAGCACCCAGGCCCAGAGTTCAAGACCCGTGACCAACAACAACAACAACAAAAAAGGCTGGCATTCTAGCACTTGAATCATGACTCCATTTCTGGCTTTTTTTTTTTTTTTTTTTTTGGTGTGTGTGTAGGGGGTGGTTAATTGAAGATAAGAGTTTCGTGGACTTTCCTGCCCAGCCTGGCTTTGAACCATGGTCCTCAGATTTCAGCTTCCTGAGTCCCTAGGAGTACAGGCATAAATCATGGGTGCCAGGTTTACATGCATAAATTTTCTCGAATGGAAATTTCATTTGCTGTCTGAGGCCATTTATCTTGAAGTCTTTTCTTAAAATATCTCTAAGTGGTTGTCCGAGTGGGTTTCAATTCAACATGCCCGTGTATGAGTACCAGGCTTCTCTATCAATGCTTCCATTACTCTCTTCAAGTATATTTTTACATGGGGATTTACAGAGTTGTTGTTTTGGGGGACACTTAGAGAGGGGGGACACAGAAGAGGCCTGTGTGGGAGCCCCTCAAGCTCTTCCCCCTTCCGCTGCCTCATCCTTAGCTACATATTGGGGAGGGGGTAGAGCTGCAGCACTAGCAGGTGCTGGGGGGGGCAGGGTGGGAGGCACTGCCATGGATAGTTTCTATCAAGGAGGGTGGGGGGCACTAAAATACAAAGGAAGACATTAAAGTGCAATGAAAGAAGACTTTGGTGAGCACTGATATTATGGCATTGGTTGTCTTGGAAGATAATCTCTGGGGTCCAAGCAGGGACAGATGCCTGTAGGGTAGAGTCAGGGGAGGGGGTGGGGACAGGGACGCTGGGATTTAAGGTGTCCAACAGCTCGGAACCAGGCAGTAGGTACGCATCTGTGCTCTGTGCATCCCGGATCCCATGATCTTGTTTGGCTGGATTTCGTGGGTGAATCCAGGGACAAATCACATCTCCCCCGTTTCACATTCAGCCTCTTCGCTTCCTCCCCCTGGAGATGAGAGGTTTTAGCTAAATTCATCGCGGATGGCTTGGGTGATTTCAGAAGCTTACGGCAGATGCATTTGTACAGAGGTGAATGGGACTGATTGACATTTTGTGCTCACGTTAAGCCTTTTCACAGAGTTCTATTGAGTGCGCTTAAGCACTCCAATCTCTCCTGTGATAGAAATAATTCTTTGTCTAAATAAATTATAATACTCTGTTAAAAAGTCCCAGAAGATAGGCTAGGAATCTGTCTACAAGCCTCAGGCCCTTGATCTCCCTAAGACTTAAGAAGTGTTTTGTGGGGCACATCTGGTTTGGAGAGTCCCCATTAGAAACTTTTTTCCAAGGCTATTTGCATCTTCCCAGAGGTGCTTATCAGCCCAAGGATTCCTTTTTAATGACCCGTGCAAGGACTCCCTTCTCCCACAAACACTAGAAGAGCCATTGCTAGGCAACTGATGGACAAGCCATCAGGTCTCAAGTATGGCTTCCAACCTACCTGTTAGGGTCTTTTGTGCTGGGAATTATAAAGATACATTCACGTTTGCAAAAGGTTCTCTCGATCCAAGCTTTCTGACCCTAGAAGAGAAAGAAATGGAAATGTGACTGATAACTCATGCAAGTCATCTCTAGAGCTCATGTTGATTTTTATTTCTTTTCTCTCTCCTTCTTCTTCTTCCTCCTCCTCCTCCTCCTCCTCCTATTCTTTTTGTTTAGGTCAGACTCTGGGACTTGAACCAGTACCTGATGTTTTTGCTCATTGGCTAACTCTCTACCGACTGAACAACACCTCCAAACCTTCATGCTGATGGGTTTTTGTTGTTGTTGTTTTTGGGTCCGGTCATGGGGCCTGAACTCTGGGCCTGGGCGCTGTCCCTCAGCTCTTCAGCTCAAGGCTAGCGCTCTACCACTTGAGCCACAGCGCCACTTCCGGCTTTTTTTCTTTTTGCTTATATGGTGCTGAGGAATCGAACCCAGGGCCTCTGGCATGCAAGGCAAGCACTCTACCACTGAGCCACCTTCCCAGCCCCATGCTGATGTTTTTAAATAATTAAATTAACATACTATTCACAGGAAGACTTCTCATGACATGTGTTTGTACAGAGTTTTGGGTTTTCGTTGTTTGTTTTGTGCTGGGGGATCAAAATGCTAGACAAAAGCTCTAACATCAAGCTCAATCATGGTGGATGCGAATATTTTAGGATCTCTCCTCTTGTGCATTTATGGTTCCCGTTTGCTGAACTCTTAACCACTCTATACGCATCTTGTCTGTGTATGCGCGCGCACACACACACAATGCTGCCCCGTAGCGTATTTGCTCAAGGCTAGCACTCTACCACTTGAGCCACAGCTCCACTTCCAGCTTTTTGCTGTGAATTAGAGTTACAGGTCTCATGGACTTTCCTGCCTGAGCTAGCTTTGAACCATGATCCTTAAATCTCAGCCTCCTGAGTAGCTAGGATTCTGAGCTAGGTAGGAGCCACTTTTTAAGTAGAAAGACCCAGGGTCCCCCCTACCCTAAAATATGGAAGCAGAACACTTGCTGTCTAGAAAGAAAATGTGTTTTTCCCCTTGTGCACCTCATGCTTCACTTCCTGGCAGGGAGAGCATGTTCATGCTTGTTTATAAAAACAAACGGCACGCCACACTTGGATGGGTGCTACGGGATTTGGACTCTGTGTCCACTAAAGAACTCTGTTACTCTTGTGAGGAAGAAGCTTTTCACGGAAACATAAGAGGGCCATTCTGAGGCTGCTTCCTATGTATGAACAAGCACATGAAAACATGGCAGGTAAAAGAGCTGGGCTTCCAATTGTTGGAGAAAAGAGTTACAGAAAAGTGGAGAAAAGGCAAATGAACCCAGTAGCCATGAACTGAAATTAAAACCATCCACTATGAAGAAATAGCTATGAAAACAGAGATAAGCTTGTGTGTGAGTTCTCTCTCTATATACATATCATATATATATATATATATATATATATATATACATGGACACACATGCATATGTATGTAATTATAACATGTTGTATGTTCCAGTCTCCCCCTTCATCCTCCTCCCTCTCCCTTTCCCTCTCTCTCCCTTTCCTTTACCTTCCCCTCCTCTTCCCTCCTCACTCTCTTCTCTCAGTCAATCTGTTGACCCTGTCCCCTGGTCCTGCCCCATAATATCTTCCCTCCAGGTCCCTTACAGCCACCATAAAATAAGAAAATAGTGACAGGTCATGGCCCAGACACCCATGCCAGGACAGGTTGGGAAATCAGAAAACCAAGCTCCAAGGCTGGGAGACTCTTATCGTGAAAAGCCAGAAAGGCCACCTGCCCTGCAGGTCCACCAGGTGAAGCCTGGATAGCAGTCACGGACCCTTGGCTTGTATGGCTGTCCATTCCCAGGTGGCGTCCAATGGCTGCATCTCAGGAGTGTCCCCCATGTAGGCCAGCTGTGACCTTTCTGGAGGGCACGGGCCTGCATTCCTCCCTCTGAGTTAAAAAGGAGGATTTTTTAAGGGCATGGCTGATAGCCAGTCATTGCTTGTGGCCCTGATCAAATGCAGCTGTCACCCACAAGCCTGCTTCCCCAAAGATCTTGTTTGAGCCGGGCACCAGTGGCTCACACCTGTCATCAAAGCTCCTCAGGAGGCTGAGATCTGAGGATTGCAGTTCAAAGCCAGCCCCAAGCAGGAAAGTCCATGAGACTCTTATCTCCAGTGAACCACTGGAAAACCAGAAGTGGTGCTGTGGCTGAAAGTGGTAGGGCACTAGTCTTGAGTAGAACAGCTCAGGGACAGTGCTCAGGCCCTTAGTTCAAGCCCCACAACCCACAATGACAACAACAACTTCCTTCCAGAAGTGTCTGGAGTGATCCTGACTGGAGCAAACCCCACCCCACCTCTTTAATAACTGAATGAATGAATGCATGCATGCATGAATGAATGCATGCATGTGGAGCAATGCCACCTGCTCAGCTCCTGCTAATACTGTCTTCAGCAGCCTCCCCCCTCTCCGACCCCTTGATGACAAAAGGGGGCTGAAGGAGATTTAGAACTGTGTAGGCAGATAAGGAGAGACAGCCACTGGTTGGAGGTGACACTCATTCCCCTTCCTGGGGACGCTGGGGAAAGCAGAGACCTTTGAAGCCTGCAGGTCCTTCTCTTCTGAGAGACCTCGGAAGAGCTGAGCCCACCCAGTGGAGCCTATGCCCCTTCCTCTATGAAAGATAAGACCCTGAGAAGGCGAAGGCCTGGAGGACTCTGGAGCAGACTGCGCAAGGGACATGTGTCCCCTTCCCCGGGAGCGAGGAGGTCATGTGACTCGGCCAGATGCCAGAGCAGCTGAGACTCGCCAAATGGACTATGAAAGAGTGACCTGC